CTTTGCGGGCGCGCGGCTTGTCGGCGAGGAGGGCAGTGGCCTGGAGCTGGACGCGGAGAACTTTGACCCCGCAATCCTCGGCACAGTGAAGAAGGCGACGATCACGAAGGACGACACCGTGCTGCTGAATGGCGGTGGGGAGAGCAGCATGGTGAAGGAGCGCGTGGAGCTGCTGCGCGGGCTGATTGACGGCGAGACAAGCGATTACAACCGCGAGAAGCTGCAGGAGCGTCTGGCGAAGCTGAGCGGTGGCGTGGCGGTGATCAAGGTGGGTGGCGGCTCGGAGGTGGAGGTGAACGAGAAGAAGGACCGCATCACGGACGCCCTGTGCTCGACCCGCGCCGCCGTGCAGGAGGGTATTGTTCCCGGTGGTGGTGTGGCGCTGCTGCGCGCGAGCAAGGCGCTGGACAGTTTGCTTGGCGACTCGTCACTCACAGCGGACCAGCGCACCGGTGTGCAGATCATCCGCAACGCCGTCCGTCTGCCCGCGCACACGATCGTGCTGAACGCTGGGAAGGAGGGCGCCGTCGTGGTGGAGAAGGTGCTGGAAAACAATGACGTCACCGTTGGCTACGATGCGCAGCGCGACCGTTACGTGAACATGTTTGAGGCAGGCATCATTGACCCCGCGCGTGTTGTCCGTGTGGCGATCACCGACGCCGTTTCCGTCGCCAGCCTGATGATGACCGCCGAGGCTGCCATTGTGGACTTGCCGAAGGAAGAAACCCCTGCGGCCGGCGGCATGGGTGGCATGGGTGGTATGGGCGGCATGGGTGACATGTACTAAGACCTTCCATGCTTCATCTGTCCACTGATCTCAACGCCGTTTTTCTCAGACACAGACAAGCTTTATTTTCCTTTTTTTTTTTTTTTATTACTATTATTACTGTTATTAATGATATCACTATTATTACTATTATGATTACCTTTTGGGTGAAACTAAGCAGAAACATTTTCACTTCGGGACGGAGGCAGCGGCGCGCGACGAACAAGCGTTCTGTTTGCTTCCTTCCTCGTCTCCATTATCTTGTGCACGGCTTTGAAATGCCTGTATTGGGAGCTGCGCGGCTCTGTGCCTGCTGCGTTTTATTTTGCTTGCTTCGGTGTTTTTATTTTTCCATGTCTTTTTGATTTTATCAGAGGTGGCTTTTTTGGTAATCTAACATACAAGTGCAACACACGATATGTTTCGCTCTGCTGCTCGTTTCGCCGGCAAGGAAATCCGGTTTGGCACGGAGGCTCGCCAGTCCATGCAGAAGGGTGTGCAGCGTGCCGTGAGCGCCGTTGCAACGACCCTTGGGCCAAAGGGGCGCAATGTGATCATTGAGCAGTCGTACGGCGCGCCAAAGATCACGAAGGACGGCGTGACCGTTGCCAAGGCGATTGAGTTCAAGGACCCGTTCGAGAACATGGGAGCACAGCTTGTGCGCCAGGTGTGCAACAAGACCAACGACCTTGCTGGCGACGGCACGACGACCTCGGCGGTGCTGGTGGCAAGCGTGTTCAGTGAAAGCCTCAGGTGCATTGCCACCGGGACGAACCCAATTGACATGAAGCGTGGCATGGACCGTGCGGTGGGCGTCATCCTGCAGAGCGTGGCGGAGCAGAGCCGCAAGGTGACGAGCACCGAGAACATTGTGCAGGTGGCCACGATCTCCGCCAACGGGGACGAGGAGCTGGGCAGGCTGATTGGTCAGGCGATGGAGAAGGTGGGCAAGGACGGAGTGATCACCACGCAGGACGGCAAGACGATGACGACGGAGCTGGAGGTGGTGGAGGGCATGAGCATTGACCGCGGCTACATCAGCCCATACTTTGTGACCGACGCGAAGGCGCAGAAGGCCGAGCTGGAGGATGCGTTTGTGCTGGTGTCGGCGAAGAAGGTGAGCAGCATCCACACGATCCTGCCGGCGCTGAATCACGTGGTGCGCACCGGACGCCCGCTTCTGATCATTGCCGACGACGTGGAGAGCGAGGCGCTGACGACGATGATCTTCAACAAGCTTCAGGGCAAGCTGAAGATCGCGTGCGTGAAGGCACCCGGCTTTGGCGACAACAAGACTGCCATGATGCAGGACATTGCCATCTTTGCGGGCGCGCGGCTTGTCGGCGAGGAGGGCAGTGGCCTGGAGCTGGACGCGGAGAACTTTGACCCCGCAATCCTCGGCACAGTGAAGAAGGCGACGATCACGAAGGACGACACCGTGCTGCTGAATGGCGGTGGGGAGAGCAGCATGGTGAAGGAGCGCGTGGAGCTGCTGCGCGGGCTGATTGACGGCGAGACAAGCGACTACAACCGCGAGAAGCTGCAGGAGCGTCTGGCGAAGCTGAGCGGTGGCGTGGCGGTGATCAAGGTGGGTGGCGGCTCGGAGGTGGAGGTGAACGAGAAGAAGGACCGCATCACGGACGCCCTGTGCTCGACCCGCGCCGCCGTGCAGGAGGGCATTGTTCCCGGTGGTGGTGTGGCGCTGCTGCGCGCGAGCAAGGCGCTGGACAGTTTGCTTGGCGACTCGTCACTCACAGCGGACCAGCGCACCGGTGTGCAGATCATCCGCAACGCCGTCCGTCTGCCCGCGCACACGATCGTGCTGAACGCTGGGAAGGAGGGCGCCGTCGTGGTGGAGAAGGTGCTGGAAAACAATGACGTCACCGTTGGCTACGATGCGCAGCGCGACCGTTACGTGAACATGTTTGAGGCGGGCATCATTGACCCCGCGCGTGTTGTCCGTGTGGCGATCACCGACGCCGTTTCCGTCGCCAGCCTGATGATGACCGCCGAGGCTGCCATTGTGGACTTGCCGAAGGAAGAGACCCCTGCGGCCGGCGGCATGGGCGGCATGGGTGGTATGGGTGACATGTACTAGGACCTTCCATGCTTCATCTGTCCACTGGTCTCAACGCCGTTTTTCTCAGACACAGACAAGCTTTATTTTCCTTTTTTTTTTTTTTACTATTATTACTATTATTACTATTATTACTATTATTAATAATATCACTATTATTACTATTATGATTACCTTTTGGGTGAAACTAAGCAGAAACATTTTCACTTCGGGACGGAGGCAGCGGCGCGCGACGACCAAGCGTTCTGTTTGCTTTCTTCCTCATCTCCATTATCTTGTGCACGGTTTTGAAATACCTGTATTGGGAGCTGCGCGGCTCTGTGCCTGCTGCGTTTTATTTTGCTTGCTTCGGTGTTTTTATTTTTCCATGTCTTTTTGATTTTATCAGAGGTGGCTTTTTTGTTAATCTAACATACAAGTGCAACACACGATATGTTTCGCTCTGCTGCTCGTTTCGCCGGCAAGGAAATCCGGTTTGGCACGGAGGCTCGCCAGTCCATGCAGAAGGGTGTGCAGCGTGCCGTGAGCGCCGTTGCAACGACCCTTGGGCCAAAGGGGCGCAATGTGATCATTGAGCAGTCGTACGGCGCGCCGAAGATCACGAAGGACGGCGTGACCGTTGCCAAGGCGATTGAGTTCAAGGACCCGTTCGAGAACATGGGAGCACAGCTTGTGCGCCAGGTGTGCAACAAGACCAACGACCTTGCTGGCGACGGCACGACGACCTCGGCGGTGCTTGTGGCAAGCGTGTTCAGTGAAAGCCTCAGGTGCATTGCCACCGGGACGAACCCAATTGACATGAAGCGTGGCATGGACCGTGCGGTGGGCGTCATCCTGCAGAGCGTGGCGGAGCAGAGCCGCAAGGTGACGAGCACCGAGAACATTGTGCAGGTGGCCACGATCTCCGCCAACGGGGACGAGGAGCTGGGCAGGCTGATTGGTCAGGCGATGGAGAAGGTGGGCAAGGACGGAGTGATCACCACGCAGGACGGCAAGACGATGACGACGGAGCTGGAGGTGGTGGAGGGCATGAGCATTGACCGCGGCTACATCAGCCCATACTTTGTGACCGACGCGAAGGCGCAGAAGGCCGAGCTGGAGGATGCGTTTGTGCTGGTGTCGGCGAAGAAGGTGAGCAGCATCCACACGATCCTGCCGGCGCTGAACACGTGGTGCGCACCGGCGCCCGCTTCTGATCATTGCCGACGACGTGGAGAGCGAGGCGCTGACGACGATGATCTTCAACAAGCTTCAGGGCAAGCTGAAGATGCGTGCGTAAGGCACCCGGCTTTGGCGACAACAAGACGCCATGATGCAGGACATTGCCATCTTTGCGGGCGCGCGGCTTGTCGGCGAGGAGGGCAGTGGCTGGAGCTGGACGCGGAGAACTTTGACCCCGCAATCCTCGGCACAGTGAAGAAGGCGACGATCACGAAGGACGACACTGTGCTGCTGAATGGCGGTGGGGAGAGCAGCATGGTGAAGGAGCGCGTGGAGCTGCTGCGCGGGCTGATTGACGGCGAGACAAGCGATTACAACCGCGAGAAGCTGCAGGAGCGTCTGGCGAAGCTGAGCGGTGGCGTGGCGGTGATCAAGGTGGGTGGCGGCTCGGAGGTGGAGGTGAACGAGAAGAAGGACCGCATCACGGACGCCCTGTGCTCGACCCGCGCCGCCGTGCAGGAGGGTATTGTTCCCGGTGGTGGTGTGGCGCTGCTGCGCGCGAGCAAGGCGCTGGACAGTTTGCTTGGCGACTCGTCACTCACAGCGGACCAGCGCACCGGTGTGCAGATCATCCGCAACGCCGTCCGTCTGCCCGCGCACACGATCGTGCTGAACGCTGGGAAGGAGGGCGCCGTCGTGGTGGAGAAGGTGCTGGAAAACAATGACGTCACCGTTGGCTACGATGCGCAGCGCGACCGTTACGTGAACATGTTTGAGGCAGGCATCATTGACCCCGCGCGTGTTGTCCGTGTGGCGATCACCGACGCCGTTTCCGTCGCCAGCCTGATGATGACCGCCGAGGCTGCCATTGTGGACTTGCCGAAGGAAGAAACCCCTGCGGCCGGCGGCATGGGTGGCATGGGTGGTATGGGCGGCATGGGTGACATGTACTAAGACCTTCCATGCTTCATCTGTCCACTGATCTCAACGCCGTTTTTCTCAGACACAGACAAGCTTTATTTTCCTTTTTTTTTTTTTTTATTACTATTATTACTGTTATTAATGATATCACTATTATTACTATTATGATTACCTTTTGGGTGAAACTAAGCAGAAACATTTTCACTTCGGGACGGAGGCAGCGGCGCGCGACGAACAAGCGTTCTGTTTGCTTCCTTCCTCGTCTCCATTATCTTGTGCACGGCTTTGAAATGCCTGTATTGGGAGCTGCGCGGCTCTGTGCCTGCTGCGTTTTATTTTGCTTGCTTCGGTGTTTTTATTTTTCCATGTCTTTTTGATTTTATCAGAGGTGGCTTTTTTGGTAATCTAACATACAAGTGCAACACACGATATGTTTCGCTCTGCTGCTCGTTTTGCCGGCAAGGAAATCCGGTTTGGCACGGAGGCTCGCCAGTCCATGCAGAAGGGTGTGCAGCGTGCCGTGAGCGCCGTTGCAACGACCCTTGGGCCAAAGGGGCGCAATGTGATCATTGAGCAGTCGTACGGCGCGCCAAAGATCACGAAGGACGGCGTGACCGTTGCCAAGGCGATTGAGTTCAAGGACCCGTTCGAGAACATGGGAGCACAGCTTGTGCGCCAGGTGTGCAACAAGACCAACGACCTTGCTGGCGACGGCACGACGACCTCGGCGGTGCTGGTGGCAAGCGTGTTCAGTGAAAGCCTCAGGTGCATTGCCACCGGGACGAACCCAATTGACATGAAGCGTGGCATGGACCGTGCGGTGGGCGTCATCCTGCAGAGCGTGGCGGAGCAGAGCCGCAAGGTGACGAGCACCGAGAACATTGTGCAGGTGGCCACGATCTCCGCCAACGGGGACGAGGAGCTGGGCAGGCTGATTGGTCAGGCGATGGAGAAGGTGGGCAAGGACGGAGTGATCACCACGCAGGACGGCAAGACGATGACGACGGAGCTGGAGGTGGTGGAGGGCATGAGCATTGACCGCGGCTACATCAGCCCATACTTTGTGACCGACGCGAAGGCGCAGAAGGCCGAGCTGGAGGATGCGTTTGTGCTGGTGTCGGCGAAGAAGGTGAGCAGCATCCACACGATCCTGCCGGCGCTGAACACGTGGTGCGCACCGGCGCCCGCTTCTGATCATTGCCGACGACGTGGAGAGCGAGGCGCTGACGACGATGATCTTCAACAAGCTTCAGGGCAAGCTGAAGATGCGTGCGTAAAGGCACCCGGCTTTGGCGACAACAAGACGCCATGATGCAGGACATTGCCATCTTTGCGGGCGCGCGGCTTGTCGGCGAGGAGGGCAGTGGCCTGGAGCTGGACGCGGAGAACTTTGACCCCGCAATCCTCGGCACAGTGAAGAAGGCGACGATCACGAAGGACGACACCGTGCTGCTGAATGGCGGTGGGGAGAGCAGCATGGTGAAGGAGCGCGTGGAGCTGCTGCGCGGGCTGATTGACGGCGAGACAAGCGACTACAACCGCGAGAAGCTGCAGGAGCGTCTGGCGAAGCTGAGCGGTGGCGTGGCGGTGATCAAGGTGGGTGGCGGCTCGGAGGTGGAGGTGAACGAGAAGAAGGACCGCATCACGGACGCCCTGTGCTCGACCCGCGCCGCCGTGCAGGAGGGCATTGTTCCCGGTGGTGGTGTGGCGCTGCTGCGCGCGAGCAAGGCGCTGGACAGTTTGCTTGGCGACTCGTCACTCACAGCGGACCAGCGCACCGGTGTGCAGATCATCCGCAACGCCGTCCGTCTGCCCGCGCACACGATCGTGCTGAACGCTGGGAAGGAGGGCGCCGTCGTGGTGGAGAAGGTGCTGGAAAACAATGACGTCACCGTTGGCTACGATGCGCAGCGCGACCGTTACGTGAACATGTTTGAGGCGGGCATCATTGACCCCGCGCGTGTTGTCCGTGTGGCGATCACCGACGCCGTTTCCGTCGCCAGCCTGATGATGACCGCCGAGGCTGCCATTGTGGACTTGCCGAAGGAAGAGACCCCTGCGGCCGGCGGCATGGGCGGCATGGGTGGTATGGGTGGTATGGGTGACATGTACTAGGACCTTCCATGCTTCATCTGTCCACTGGCCTCAACGCCGTTTTTCTCAGACACAGACAAGCTTTATTTTCCTTTTTTTTTTACTATTATTACTATTATTACTATTATTAATAATATCACTATTATTACTATTATGATTACCTTTTGGGTGCAACTAAGCAGAAACATTTTCACTTCGGGACGGAGGCAGCGGCGGGCGATCTGATAGCCTGTAATGTTATGCTTTTTTTTCTAATCGTTTTTTTTTGGTTGTTATTATTATTATTTTTTTTTTTGCCTGGCAGAATTTATATTACAGTTTTAAGACGGAGATGGGCTTTACTGTTGGTTTGTTGAGTTGCTGTGAGGATATGGGCACGTGCTGTGACGTTTGTTGTTGCTTTGCGTGCAACACAAGTCGCCAGTGGAGTGCTGCTGAAGGCATACCCAACAACTGTGGCTGCTGCTGCTGTCTGGGGTCATGCTTCTTCCCCATGATTACCACGTGCCTTCTTCGTCAGAAATTGTCGTCGATGTACTTTCTGCAGGAGAATTTGCTTCTTACCCTACTGATTGGTTGGTTTTGCTCCGCGTGCTCGGCGTGCCAGACACATCGCGAGCTCACGTTGCGTGGCGCCAACCCCGGCGGCTGCTGTTGCCAACCAAGCAATGTTCCCATGCGTTAGATCCATTGCGTCACTGCGGTGGTTGAATGCGCTTAGTCTTGGATTAATGTACTTTTCTTATTAGAGGATTTTTTTTTTTTTTTTTTTGAACTGGAGGGGGTGAGGAGGGAAATGACTGAGAGAGCCGGTGCTTTTTAAATATTAAGGTGGCATCGAATGCTATTATTATTATTATTTTTTTTATATTATTATTATAAGCCTTTCGAAAAGGACGTCCGTTGTTGTGTTTGTAAGAAGGATGATGACGCCTCTTTGTGGACTCCCTTGTTTTCTCATCGATTATATAATGCTTCTTTTCAATGATACCGGGCGCTGGAATGCGGCGACTGCGGTTTCTTTTTCCATCTTGTCCGCTTCCTGCTGCTTTTCACGCGGAGGAGCCGGGTGGTTGTGGGACGCCAAAGAATGCCGCGCCATGACTTCACAATGAGCCCAGTTATTATAGAACGCCATTGGAGTGAGTGTCTTTACTGGCGTGTGTGTGGTAGATGAATATTCTCCGAGCTATGGAGGGTGTTGGGTGCGGTGAAGCAAACCGGCATTTCCCATTGCTGCTTTTCTCTTTTGCGTGAAGAGTAATGCAGGCGACATCCAAAAGTATTTCTTTTTTTTTTTTTTTTTCGTTATTATTATTAATATTATTATTTTCTGTCATCGAGACAAGGGATTGCTTCATTAGGAAGAATGAAATAGCAATGCGCCATTGATTGGCTCACCGTCCCAATGAATTTAATTTTATTTTATTTTTCGATGAAGACATTTCTCCTGCAGCGTTTTTTTGCTGCTGAAGGAACCTTTTTTTTTCCTGGTGGTTGATTTTGCGTGATCTTAGTCGACGATGGCACACCTCTGTCATCTTCTCTCTTTCTTCTTGGTATTGTTTGCTGTGACAGTCTAGTAAGGCTTTTCTTTTAAAGCAGAAGAATGGGCTTTACTGTTGGTTTGTTGAGTTGCTGTGAGGATATGGGCACGTGCTGTGACGTTTGTTGTTGCTTTGCATGCAACACAAGTCGCCAGTGGAGTGCTGCTGAAGGCATACCCAACAACTGTGGCTGCTGCTGCTGTCTGGGGTCATGCTTCTTCCCCATGATTACCACGTGCCTTCTTCGTCAGAAATTGTCGTCGATGTACTTTCTGCAGGAGAATTTGCTTCTTACCCTACTGATTGGTTGGTTTTGCTCCGCGTGCTCGGCGTGCCAGACACATCGCGAGCTCACGTTGCGTGGCGCCAACCCCGGCGGCTGCTGTTGCCAGCCAAGATTCTCATCATTTTCTTTGGTGATCTCTTTTTTTTTGCTTTTGCTGTTGTTATGCGTCTTGTGAGGACGTATGCTGCTCATTTCCCGCTTGTGGATCGGCTGTTTTTTTTTTCTTTTTTATTTTCATCGTACTATTGACAAGTCCCTGAAGGAGAATTAGCAATATATAAAGGAAAAAGGGGATCGTCACTAAACACTTCTGGAGGTGTGCAGGTGTGTGTTGTATCTGGCTTGACAGGTGCACACACACACACACACACACACACGCAGTTGGAATAATTGGGCGGTGATAAATGAATATAACGCGTATAGGCTTATAAAGGGCAAAATTAAAAGGAAAAAGAAAAGCAGATGGTACTGGCACTTTGTCATCGCTTTCCACGTGACGGGGTGGTGCAGGTTGGTCTATTTTTTTTGCTAGCCTCGTGTATTTTGCAGGCCATTCTGATTGGAAGCCACAACAAAGAAAAAGACAGTGGTAGTATCGTCCCACTCGATGGAAGAATTGGGGCGGGCCAAGTTGTGTACATTGGCGCTCTTCCTGCGGTGTACTTGGGGGATGGAAATGCGATTTGTTTGTGGTCAGCAGATTCCAATTTGATTTCTGTGGGATGTGCACGTTTCGTGGAGGCGTTTCACGCGGTTATTGGACTTTTTTTATCTTGTTTCATTGTGAGTGTGCTGTCGCTGCTGTTTGCCGTGTTTTTGATTGTTCCAATAAGCAGGACAACCACCTTCATGTTGGCAGGCATGTTGTTGGCCTTGTTTCTTCCCATAACTTTACACACTGCAGCCATTGGGGTGTTTTTCCATCAATGCGAACGTTACGCAAAGGAAATTGCGAGCCGAGTTGTGTTTTTAGGTGCAAAGGTGGAATTTCGTCGTGGATACATGGCAAATGTGGCGATTGGCTCGGAGGCGTGTTTGGCTGCGGGATTTTTAATTCTTTTTTTTCGTTTTCTTTTGGCTGTTATCTACCGACAGTCGGTCAAAAAGCGGGATATTGTACGGCGCGACATTGGGAAGTTTATGCGGCGCCACTTAGTGAACGATGATTGGGAACGGCAAAAGGCGGTCCTGCAATCGCATGCACGCAGTGTACAGCTGGAGATAGTTAGATGCGAGGGCGATACGGAGGCAACCCAGGAGAAGGGCGGCGTGAGTGACACAAATAAGGGTTTATTAGGACAAGATGGGGATAGCGAGTTCACCTTTAGGCCCTCACCCGCCCACTCCAGCGTTATGATTGAGGTTGTGAAGGGAACAGGGGTTTCTTTGATGTCTAGCGAGCCATATCACCCCACAACAAATGAACAGTGAAAAGAAGTTTTGGATGTTGTTTGATAGATATGGTGTGTGCCTGAGAAGGGATAAAAGGCGTTTTGTGAATATTATTCCCGTATATATGCTCAGCTTTTTTTTTTTTTTTTTGTTTGAGTGAAATGCAACGAAAAATAGATAAGTTACTGGGGGGGAATATTTTTTTTTTTTTTTTTTTTTTTTTTCGACTGCTGTGATGCATCGAAGCTTTGCAGATCCTTGGAGAGACCGTGTTCCCTGTTTGTTTTTTGGCCACCTTTTTTTTTTTTTCCGTTGTTGTTTTTCCTGCTGTCATTACTTTGCCCAATAGGAGGAAGAAAGCAGAGAAGCAAGTGTGCGGGGGACTGATATCCGCAGGAGGAGCGGGGGGTGGGTGGGCAACGAAAAGAAGGACAGAGCGGCAGTCAGACTAGGGGAATACGGCTTTATCTCCACTCTGTCTGGCCACGGAGCAAATGTCACGGGAGGACTTTTCATGTGCCATTTGCTACGATTTGGCCTCTGAACCGGTTGTGACGCGCTGTGGCCACCTGTTCTGCTGGAACTGCCTGGATCACTGGCTGGGAAGACAAAACGCGGTGCCGGAATGCCCAGTGTGTCGTGGCCGTGTAGACAGACACTTGCAGGGGGACATCATTCCGCTCTACGGTAAAGGCAGGCAGACACACGCAGCGAACGCCTCCTCGTCAGTCAAGTCGCCGCCATCGCCGCAAGCGCAGCGGCAACAACGCCAAGAACAACCGCCCCGTCCACGCCCGGCTGCAGATAGAGCAGCGCCGGTGCAGCGCCCCGGGGCAAATTATGTCAATAATCCACTTTCATTAGGAATCGGTAGCTCTTTTTTTATTTATGGAGGCAACATGAGCCTGACTCTTCTGCTGGTGGCTTTGTGGGCCACGTATCATTTTGCCCCCTGGCGCCAGTTGTTTGAACGTGTGTGGGGCCGTAATGGCAGCCAGAGGAGAGCGAGGCAGACTGAGCAGGAGGAGAACAATTCTGATTTACAAGGTCGTCGGGTGCTCTTGCCAGATGCAATAGTTAGAAGAGTGCTTTTATCCGTTGTAGTCGTGTATATAGTTCATTATCTTTTTTCGGCTTGAATGCGTGTGCATCTGAGTGTCACTGGGGGGCTTACAACTGGGGGAGGGTTAAATGAGATGAAACCGAAAAGGGAGAAAAAAAACATAATAATAAAGTTATACGGATGTGGCTGGATTGGTGGTAAAGGAAAGAGAAGGAGGAGGAATGAATGCGTGGCAGGAATGGATAAGGGAAACGGCTGTGAAGGAAACAAATTGAGGAAGGAAGGAAGGAATGAGTCTAGTAAAAATAAATAAATGAAGAGTAAAACGCCATAGAGAGAAACTTAACACCAGAACCCGTTTATTCACCGTGTGCGTGTGCGTCGGATGAATGTTTTGCTCGATCGATGCCTCTGGACTCATCGCCTTGAGTTTTTTTGCGTATTCTTGTATTCACGTATATATATATATATATATATATATATATATATATATATATGAGATACATTTTGTCGTTTGTAGGCACTTGTAAAAGGAATGCGTGGCAAGATGGTCCTGAGAGGAGAGCAGCGAGCGCATTTTTTCTGCCCTCAATACGTTTTACTATTGTTATTATTATCCTTTACCGATTTTTTCCTTCAATGATACCGGGTGCTGGAATGCGGCGAGTGCGGTTTCTTTTTTCCATCTTGTCCGCTCCCTGCTGCTTTTCACACGGAGGAGCCGGGCGGTTGTGGAACGCCAAAGAATGCCGCGCCATGACTTCACAATGAGCCCAGTTATTATAGAACGCCATTGGAGTGAATGTCTTTACTGGCGTGTGAGTGGTAGATGAATATTCTCCGAGCTATGGAGGGTGTTGGGCGCGGTGAAGCAAACCGGCATTTCCCATTGCTGCTTTTCTCTTTTGCGTGAATAGTAATGCAGGCGACATCCAGAATTATTTCTTTCTTTTTTTTTTTTTTTTTTTTTTTGAATTGGATGTGGGCACAAACTAAATTATTGTTTACGTTCATTACCCGCTGTGCCTGTGCGTGTGGTTGAATTTGTTGGTAGCGGTTTTTTTTTTTTTTTTGGTATGTATTTTTGCGCTTTTTGTATTTCTTTTTGTTAGTGTGTCGTGTTGTGTTGTGTGTTTATTCGAGGCGAATGTGTGCTTTCTTCCTCCATGTATGTATGCACGCTGATGTGTACCTCACCGTCTGCGAGTTTCCGCGGTGGAGTCTGGACTTCCCTCTCTTGCATACCCGCGTGTGTTGATTGGCACTTGTTGAATTGTGCGCGTGGGCCGTTGGCGGGGGGATGAGCGGTGATTGTGGCACGACAATGAAAGTAATTGGGGGGGGGGGGTGCTTTTTCTTTCCACGGTTGCTTCCTTTGTCTCTTTTTTTTTTGGATGCATCGCGCCATCTCATTCCTTTGCGCTGCTCGCTCTGTGTGTGTGCGTGTGTTTAACTATGCCTTTTTTTCTTCTGTCTGTGGGCTTTGCTCCCTTTTTTTTTTCTGGATACGCACTCACAACCAAAACGCATACACACAAAAAAAAAATAATAATAATATTCTAGGAGCCAACTTGAGGTCTCGACGACGCATACACAGTCATCATGGCAAAGCGTACCGTTAAGATGGGTGTCATGGGACGCTATGGCGCCCGCTATGGTGCCAACCCCCGTAAGCGTGCCAAGAAGCTTGAGGTGTCGCAGCACGCGAGACATTTTTGTTCGTTCTGCGGTAAATTTGCCTTCCGCCGTAAGGCTGTAGGCATTTGGCGCTGCGACGGCTGCAGCAAGACGATGGCGGGTGGTGCGTACACGTTGAGCACACCGAACAACAGCACTGTCCGCTCGACGGTTCGTCGTCTTCGTGAACTCAAGTAGGGAGCACGGCGCGATGCAGTCCGTTTGATTTTGTGTTGTGTGTGAGTCCCTTTCTTCTACTTGGGGCAGCATGTCGGAGAAGTGCTTCAGTGTGGGCTTTTTTTTTCTCGTTGTTGTTTTTTTGTTCTTTTTTTAGCGAAGATGCAGTGGAAGCTGTGTGCTGGGGCGTGGGGTCACACTTATGCTTCTCTGCCGCGGGACCCTTAACCCGCATGTTCATTGAGGTGATGTTGTTGACTACGATGAACGTTTCCTCTTCTTCTTATTATTATTATTATTATTATTTTCCAACACGTGTGTACAATACCCATGAGTGAAAAGGGGAGGGAGCGGAGTTAGGGGAGCAAAAAGAAAGGCCAAAGTTTTTTTTTTGTGTGTTTGTGTGTGTCCGTAATGGAGTTTATTCTTGATGCATTCGACTCCTCAGCCTCAACACTCAAGGCCTACTACGAACAGCTGCAGCAGCTGGGAGAGGAAGGCGAGGATTGTGACGTCAAGATCGATGCCCTCCGTGCGCTGCATGATTGTTTCGTGTCGCATACGGAGAAGATGAGCTTCGAGTTGGATGTCCTCCAGACCGACGAGGAGCGAGAGGCTGATGGCATTGAAGAGGAGGTGGCCGAACTGGAGGCGGAGCTTCTGATGCTTACACAAATTGCACAGGGCTGTGATGCCGGCGGCTACCGTTTACCTTTCCCAGCTTGTGACTCATTTCAAGTATACGGGGCCTTTGCAACAAAACTTTGTGACTTTGTGGCGAAGCTGACGGTCCTGCGCGACGCCATGCAGGGGTTTCTCTCGCACCCGCATCCGTTGGAGACAGAGAGTTTATTCCACATCACATGGTGCGGCGTCACGAGCGAGAAGGCATGGGCAGAGAAGGAGAATGAGCTTCACGCGGCTTGGGACGTGTTGGAAGCGAAGGCTGGGGCCGTCGCCGTGACGTCGCCGGGCTCGTCGATAGAAGCTGCGCGGGGTCTCCTTGACGAGGTGATGGCTTTGGGAGGGCGCGCCGTTGACCGCGTGGCGGATTTACGGCAGCTTTGGGAAAGACGAGAAAAGGTGGTGAAACAACTTGACGGCCAGCAGCGTCGTCTTGTCGTCTGGTGCCGCCAGCAGCAAGTCAACCTTGATGCCCTGAGCGACCCGGACCACATCCAAGAGTTCTGCGCGTCGCTGTTGGAGCACTACAAAGTCATGTCGAGTAATTACCGCGTTTTATTAGAGTCGGCGGAGCCGTTTTTGGACTGCGAGGCCGTGCAGGAAAAGTTGCTGGAGGCAAGCGAGACTTGGGTGCATCTGCAGGTTAAGGCCCTTGAACGGCTGCGGCATACGCTTTTTGAGGTGCATGCAGACACCATATTGGAGGAACGTGTGGAGGAGCACGTCAGTTTTGGTTTGCAAGTGGGCCCTTTTCTTGAGGAGCTGAAAAATTCACTTGTGGCCACACGCAATACGAATTCAGTTCTGCATGACCGTTCTGAACAACTCACGGAGGAATGTCAGTTGCTACAAGAAATAATGCCAAAACACGATGAGCTCTGCAAATGTCTTCTTCAGTTTGCGAATCGCATGCGAATAATGCGGGAGGCGTATGCGTGTTACCGGGCCGCAGCACTTTCCCGTGTGACTTACTTGGCTTCTTCGTCGGATATTTTGACGGAGGCGGCGCGCCGCAAAGAAGATTTTGAGAGTTGCGTCGAGGAAATTCAAGCGTGGGTGGATCATAAGGCGAAGGATGATTCCTGGCGCGATGTCCGGGAGAAGGTGCGTGGCATCAAGGCACTGCTGGAACGAGAGCAACAATTCTTGGATCAGGATCGAAAAGAGACAGAAAGCGAAGAGGGGGCGAAAAAAAGAGAGCAAACAAACGTTTTGTGATCGTGAATGCGAATTGTTACATTCAGCGAGTTTTATACGCAGCATTTAATTTTGTATTTTTGACTATGCCTTTTTTGTTGTGTTGGTTTTGGCCTACATATAAATGGGGAGAAAGAGTTGTTTACATTACATGGATGTGCATTCTACTGCTGCGCATCATCGTCCGCCTCCTATTTCCTTTTTTTTTTTTCTTTTATTGTGTGTGTGAGTGTGTGTCTGTGGCGCTCAATAGGATGTCCGCTGAGGCGCCAGCGTTACCACCCAACACCACTAACGGGGATGGGTCACAGCGCGCCCACATGGAGGATGACGTTGTGCCAGCTCAACGTGTGCGATTGGAGGGAGAGGAGGAATTTTCCATTCGGCTTTGGGCGGCACGTGTTCAGTACATGGAGATGGCGAGGATGAATGGAAATTTGGAGGGACACCACACACCACATGGTCCTGTACTCCCACCTGGTTGGTATATTAACATTAACGATCCTGTTTTACTCACGTATGACCCATACTTTAGGTCCCATGCGGCCAAGGCCGACGCGGCATCTGCGCCACTCTTTAGCGCGAAAGAAGGCCGGTATTACGCGGAAAGTGCCCTGCCGCTATGCCGAGTGGAGGCCCACTCGCTCAAGTCTTGCCCTCCTGCGGGAGACTGCCTGACGGATTTGAACAGAGAGGCTTTAGGGAACGTTTCTCCATGCCGCACCGGCAATGTTGTGGCAAGGCGCCGCATTAAGGCTGGGGAAGTCATCGCCATGGACGTGTCGGAGCTCTGTGTTGTGGAGGACACGCTTGTGTGGCGTTTCTTTCCCCGCTCCTCTGCCTCCTGCAGGAAGAAAAAGGGTGGGAGAAGTGGTAAGGAAGAAAAAGGCCCCATAAAGAGGAATGGCGTCAGATGCACCCCTGAAACGTTTTCACCTGAGATCGTGGCCGCCGCACGTCAGATTGTACTTCACGCACACGCGATACGAAACGGCGTGTCAACGCTTGTGGAGACCGGCTTTGCCCAGCTGCTTGCATCCCTGTTGCTGTGGTGTGGCGACATTGATCTGCTTCCGAGAGAGGAAGAAGTAAAAACTGCTTTCAAGAGTCTGGAGACGTGTGGTAACTTTTACATTGGTCCCGTGACCTCAAGCGCGGCACTGCGCCAATCGCAACGTGTGGAGGCGTTTATTGAACGGTGGTGTGCCGTGCCAGTAGAATCCGATCCCCATTTCACTGCCCTGCGTGGTGCTGCCATGCTCCTGCTGCAGTGCATTCCTCCGGCATTGCTGTCGTGTGCCCAGAAAGATCCAACTGAGGCAGGAGGTTGTCTTTCACTGCAAAATGGCAACGCATTTGTGGTACCACATTACGGATTTATTCGGAGAATGCGATTACATAGCCCGGACCGTCTTGCGCAGTTGCTGCTGGGCTTTTCCCGTGAAGCGGTTCCGATTCATGTCCCCGATCTCCCCGCACGTAGTGGTTTTTTCCCTTTTCTTCGTCGTGTTCCACATGAGTGTCGACCAAACAGTTTTGTCATGTTTTTGGACTCGCCTGCATCGCACTGCTACGGTGAAGCAGGGTTCTTTGATTATAACACGACCGGTAGACATCTCGACGGGGAAACGAGGGCCGAAGCACCCGTATCATGGGGGTTTCCCTGTTCGGATCGAGTCTTTCTTCCATCTGTGGCAGTTCTTGTGGCATGTCGTGATATTAATTGCGGAGAACATATTTCTCGTGGTCTGTTTCAGTCGGTCTTTATGACGCAGCCGCAACGATCGAAGATTGTGCGGCAACTCTTTGGAGTGCCGTGTAGTTGCCGTTGGTGTGTTGAAGAGCCCGATGTAGCGCGTGCCTTCCGTTGCCCGCAATGTCCCCGTAATTGTGGTGTCATTTGTCCCGTTGGGGATGGCAGCCGCCTCAAAGAGTGGGTTTGCCTTCAGTGTGGGTATCGTCCTGACGTGAATGAGGTTCACCGCTGCCTTGACGAGGAGCAGGAGCTGGCAAGAGTTAAGGCGGATAAGATGAGTGGATTGGTGCGTCTATTGCAGGCGGATACAGTACACTACAGTCATGCTATCGTTTTTCACAAGATAGATGGATGGTGTCAAAAGGCGTGGCAGGGCCAGGATGCATCCATGTGTCTAGAGTATCTGGATGTCATGCAGAAAAGTGTTCATCGTGTGCTGGATCCGTGTGACCCGCAGGTGGCACAGGTGCATGAATTTACCGCTCAAGTCAATCATACGGTGGGTTCTGCACATACTGCACGTTACGAGTACTTTCTCGCACTGCAGATTCGTCTGCGTGCTGGGATGCGCTACGCACACTGGACACGTAAGACATGGTTCATGGCAGCTGAAAAGTCTCTGGCGGAATTTTTGGATAGCGTCTGAAGCAAGGCTACGCAGACGTAACCATACACGCGCAAAAAAAACAAAAACAAAAAAGACAAGAATGAAAGGAAAAGAGAGGAGCTGTTTGAGTTTGGTGGGCGTTTATCTCTGAGTATCTCTTTTTGTGTGTTTTAGCACTATTTTTATTCCCTGTCATTATTATTATTATTATTATTATTATTATTATTTGTAGATATGCCACCAAAGGCGGTTCGTGCTGGCATGCGGAAGGCGGATAAGGTGCCGCCCCCATGTGATCCAATAGCCGAGCTCAGCAGCCTGGAGTCGATCCACGAGGCGCTAAAAAAGGCACAGGAGCTTCGGAATTACTTTCAAGTGGAGCGCGACAAGGTGAACGAGTTTTGGTCAGTCTCGAAGAAGGAGCTGGAAAACTGCCGGCACGCCATTCTCAACGCCGATGCGGAACTGGAGGAGATGGAGCGTGCGCACCAGGTGGAAATGAAGGTTTACAAGCAGAAGGTGCGGCACTTGCTCTATGAGCACAAGATGAAGGTGAAGCACTGCAAGGAGGAGAGTGACCGCCTGCTGCGGGAGGCGGAGGAGCGGCATCAGAAGCGTATGAATGAGATCCAATCCCAGCTGACGCAGCACGACCGGCACTTTGAGGCGGCAATGGAGAGTCATGAGATGCGGATTGAGGATCAGCGCGATTCACAAAATTACATGCTGACTGTCACAAAGAAGCAGAAGCACGAGAAGGATCTGGCACGCCAGACGGCACTTTATGAGGCAAAACTCAAGACCCTGCGGGACGAATTGGAGCTGCGACGTCGGGCGGAGATTCACGAAATAGAGGAACGCAAAAATGAACACATCAACGCTCTCATCAAACAACACGAGGCGAAGTTTCAGGAGATGAAGGAGTACTACAACCACATAACAACCAACAACCTGGAGATTATCCAGTCCCTTAAGGAGGAGATTGCTCAGATGAAGAAGAACGACGAGCATAACGAGACGCTCATGTACGATATTGATTGCGAGAATCAGAACTTAGTTGCCCCACTGGAGGAGGCGCAGAGAGAGGTTGCAGAGCTGCAACAGAAGCGAAAGCAATACGAGCAGGACAAGCGGAGTCTTGGCACCACCCGGGCAAAGCTTCGCTCGCTGCGGGAGGAAATTTGGCGTTTGCGCAAGGAGCACAAGGACCTTGAGGAGCGCTACGCCGAAGTCCACAGGGAGAGGGAGGAACTCAAGGCGAAGTTTGAATCTGCTCTTCGGCAGGCGATGGAGGTGGTGGAGGAGCGCAATGAGGTGCTGCAGCAGAAATTGGTCGAGTCCCATGCCCTTGTTGAGGAGCGGGACGCACAGCTTGACGGGGTGTTGCAGGCGATGAATCTTGAACCCACTGCCCTTGAGCTAATTGCGTCCGAGGTGGACTCCACTTTGAAACAGAAGAATCAGATGATCCGAGATCTTCACTTTGAACTGAAGAAGGGGGAGAAGTTGGTTAACACGACACTTGTGGAGTTAGAGCGGCGCTGCCAGGCGGTGAATATCCCGCCGCTTTCCCGGGAACAATTTCTGACGGCGAGAGTTGTCTGAGCGAATGCTTCCACGTCTGTGTCTGTGCTTCTTTTGTACGCCGGAGGGCATCAAGAGGAAGAGAGGGGAAGAGGTGCTGCAAAAGGAGCGGACGAATGAGATGTACAGTTTGCCCTTCTCAGTTGGTGACGGAGGAGATTCTGCAGAAAAAAAAAAGGAAGATGAAAAATAATAATAAATAAAAGAAGCCAGAAGCGGGGCTGTTGCTTTTCCTGCCAAATGATGAATGTTTTTTATTGTATTATTGCTCTTTTTCACACACACACACACTCTCTCTCTTTCTTTCAATATCTTTTTATGTGTTTGTATTTGTGTACATTCTTCTGGCTGCTGTGAACCACTATCACTTTGGTCCGTAATTAACGAAAGAATGGGAAGAGAAGTGAAGAAACGGAACCGAGAAAAAATAAAATCAAATAGACAGAAAATTATAAAAAAGGCAAAAGAATAATTTGGGAGGGGGATGAGTAAGCAGCCACACTTGGGTATACTATGCGTGGATGTTAGCGAACTGCTGAGGGTAAGTGCGCGCCGGAAGGTGACGCGGCGTGATAACATGCTGCTCTACAAAGGCTCATACCTCATCACGGACCCTGTGCCCTGGACGCCGCGGTCGACCTCCACACGTAGCCAGTCCAACTCTCCGGCCCATGGGAGCTCCGTCAGTAGCTCAAGGACAAGGAAGAGCAGAAAATATCGGTGCAGTCACCGCAGTAGGGCGAGAAGGAGCGGCAGCAAGAATAGGAAAGAAAAAGACCACCTTAACGACGATTTTTTGGAGGAGGGAGTACCAATTAAAACTGACGCCGCTCCCGCTCAGGGCCGAAGGGGTGAAATCAGCGTTGCTGGTAGCTGCAGTAGTGGGGTGAATGTTAGGAGACGGAAGTTGCCCGTGAAAAGACTGGCTGGTGGTGCTCATGGTGCCATCTCCCCCGTGTCCGCGTGGGTCGACGGTCGGCAGCTATCGCCATTGTCGGGTGACCCTAATGACAGCGTCTCGGGGTCTTCTTCCACAATGCCTCCGGCTTTGCTGCTGGAGGAACAGCGGCTGAGGCAACAAGATCCCCGGGAGAGGGCAGAGACGCCATCACCACGGCCGCCCTCATCACAAAAAGAAGAGGAGAAGCAACATCGGTTTCCTGATGTTTCGTCAACGCTGTCGGAGTTTGCCAGAGAGAAGCTGAACTTTCTTATGAAATCCCCTCCGGGGCGCACTTTTGACAATGCACCGGCACCCCGCAAACTGTCGCTGAGCGTCGAAATGATCAGCGATCGCAACTACCAGGACAAGAGTGGAGCCGTAGAAGATGGCTCGGAACATGTTTCTCTGGCAATGGTGGGCACATTGGGCGCCGCAGCTGTCGCTCCTACTCCCGATCCATGGGGAGCACCACCTCCGCCGCGCGCAAAATCAAACATGCGTCAGCTGAAAAATTTTACAGAATCAGGTGCTCATTCTTGTTTAATGCGTGACGCTCGCGGAGTGGAACGAGTGATGATTTTGGGTGCCGTACCAATGCTGCCGAGGCCCGTTGCGAATTTGCCTTTTGCAGCACGTGGACGGGCGCCAGGGGTGGCATTGCCGCCTGTATTTAGACGGGCTGCGCGTGTCGTGGCAACTCCCACGAAGAGGCCGAAACGTTTCTGAATGCAAATGATTCAGTGAAAAGATTTTGATGTATAAAGTTTTGCCAAAACAAAGAAAAGAAACGAAAAAAAAAAAAAAAATGGCGATGTGCAGCAGCAGGCAGGCAAATTTGAGAACACTTTTTTGTTTTGTTCATTTTTTTTTTTTTTCTTTGCCCCGATGTTTCATTTGTTTGTGGTTCTTTTTGCTGTCACATTGGATGTCCTCTGTACTTTTTACTTTTGTTAAATATGTGTATGTTCCCTTTTCCCCATATAATTCTGCCTCTAGAAAATAGAGCACACGAGCAAGGGGGTTACCACGCAACGTGTCAATTCTAAAAAAAAAAAAAAAAGAAAAACTTACAAGAGGAGGAGAGCAAAAGAAGGACGCGGCATTAGACTTTACTTTTAATTTTTATTTTTTCCATCCCGTGATTCCTCTATACACACACACACACACTCTCTCTCTCTCGCTCTCTCTCTCTTGCCTGCGTGGCAGACCAATCCGGCATTCCCGCCCCGGCCCACACAAAACGGTTGGCTGAGGCCTTTTCCTCCTTTTCCTCCCTTTCCTCTACGAACAGGTAGAGTTGAAGTGCGAGAAGGGGAAAAGGAAAAAATGGATCTTTTTTCAGCCACTAATCGATCGGCAAGATCACAGCAATCCAATTCCACGGCGAACGGTCATCACTCTTCTGTGTCGAGTGCTGCGAGCCGTTCTGCAGCGCCCGCTCAATCGCGACGGAGTGGAAGAGAACTGCTAGAGACAACGTCAGAAGAAGATAAAAGCCTTTTTGTGCGTTGTGTGGAGCAGGTGCAGCGACAGCTTAAGCCAAATATTAATTCACCCAGCACGCTTCACACACTGGCATCATACTACACGCGGGAGGAGCCATATGTGGAAGGGCGGCCGTTTTGTGTCTCGCTCAGCTACGCGACATTTCTATTTCATATGCAAATGGCACGTGTGAGCGAGAGTGATGTGCAGTTGTACGCTCACTTAATTAATGCGATTCTTGCTCAAATATCCGATGATGCTCGCATGACTCATCCCTTTGTGCTTCGCGTTTTGCGAGACGCCGTGTTTGGTCTTCCTTCCCCAACATGTGTGGGTGGGGCTCACTGCGTCGCGCTTGTGCCGCCGCTGCAGTACCGTGCATTTGCCTGCCTTGCTACCTCGCTTGTTGACCTCCGCATCGTTCCCGTGGACATTCTCTATCAGTGGCAAGACAAATTGGAGGCACTGTGTGACGCCCAGTCTCCTCTGGTGGCGAACCGGGCTCTAACGCTTATTGTGCACACCATCGGAACCATTCGGATGGATGAGCAGATTGCCGCATTGCAGTATGTCTTGAAGACAAGACCCCGCAAGATGAATGTGGACTTTTTGTTGGCCTGTTATGAAAGGCTGAAGCGGGCGGTCCCGGAACCCGTCAGAGGACCCATGTATGGACGGGCCATTTCTATTCATTGTAGCGAGTTGTTTCTTCGATTCCGCTCACCCATCCGTCGGGAGTACGTGGAACGGTTTCTTTACCCGAGTTTAAGCGGAGCCGACATGCAATCGTTAGTACAAATTCCCGCAACCCGCCAGCATCTTTGTGGGGAGTTACTTCGGCAATGCACACCAGGGATGAGTCCCTCAAATCCGTATTACCTTTGCTTGTGTGCTGTCATGCAGTGGGCATTTGAGGACGAGATCGACGGAGCCATGGAGATGGTGGAGCTTATTAATTGCCAAATGCCACATGCTGCATATTTTGCAGCAACATTGGCAGTGGATACACGCATGTCTGTGGCCATGTTTGCCAAAATAATTATTGCTCTTGTACGTGGTGCAGGTCTTGCCATGACGGGACGAGAGGTCTCTGACGATGTCGCTACAGCTCTTCGGAATCGTACAAACGTGTACAGTGTGTTGTTTCTACTACGTGAAGTGGTGCGGAACTGCTCCATCACGGCGTCACGACGAGCAACCGATATGCACAAGGCGCTCTCCATCGCGGTGCCGGAAAAAACGGTGGAGGCACTTGGAAAACTTGCCATGGAGGCGTTTAATGATTGCAATGAGGCTACTGTCGACCCACAGTTGATTTGCGCGGAGCTGGCGATGGTGTTGCATCAGCTGCATATTGATGAGGCAATGGATGCTGCAGTGGCGCACCTACGCGATGTGACGGCATTATGCATTTTTTGCGGTTTGGGCCGCGGTGCCTCAACGCTGTGCGAAGTAAACGGTACGATGCACATGACAGGGCATGCCTCTGTGGGTCGTGTTCTGACGACACTCGCCGAATGTGCCGGGATACCATCGGTTGAGGGGAAACTCATTCAACTGCTGCGTGACCCGGCAACGCAGATGGACAGCGCCGTTCATTTTTTGTTGTTTCACATACTCTCGCACGCCGGGCAACACCGCCACACACTTTTCCAGGCTGTGGAACCGTACATCCGCAGCACGCTCACGACGTTGTTGAGCGCCGATCGGGCGTCAAGCGCCGGTTTGGTACCGAGTCAACAGAAGGCGAACGTTCTTATGTTGCACGTGAAAATCGTCATTCTTCTTGCGAATTCTATTGAGCCGTCGTATGTGGAGAGCATTCTTCGTGTGTTTTGTGAGGTCAGGCTGCGAAACAATCACGATGCGTTGGCGCTGTGGTATATGGCCAACCTTCTTCTCCGCCAGGGAAAAGGGAATGTGGAGCTGCTTCCAACCGATCCAGCAGAGAATAACTACAGTGTCAACTACCCCAGCTGCGCCCCAATGTGCAACACCACCGCCGACAATGCGCAACTGCTACTGAAAATCATAGATCGATCGCACAGCTTCAGTGACGAAATGCGAAAGCTGGTGGGGTGTTGCGTATGCAAACTCATTCAGGATTTCAATGTTCAGTCCCCGAACATTATTGGAGCATTATTATCTCCTTTTGGTTTTGTCCCTGTGGGACTACAACCTCTCAGTGAGTACGCGCTGCCTGTTGGGGCCAGCAGCACCTTTTGGACGTTCTTTGTACACCAGATGAAGACGTCTGCCCCAGCACGTGTTGCCTTCATGACAGCTCTTGCGAAGTCGATATCACAGCGCTTTCGTATTGCGGCACCAGCCGATGCCGTGTGTATTGATGGAACCGAGGCGACAGGACATCTTTTTGCGGTGATGATGTACGAGGCGATGAAACGTAACCCGCCACTGACTCGTGTTGTGCTACATATGATTTCGCAGTGGGTTAAACAACAAAATCATCCTCCGGGTCGGTTCGCGTGTCTTTTATACATTTGTACGCAGTTATTGACTGTTGTGGTGCAACGCGGCACTGGGCTTGATGCGATTGAACTGGCAGCTGAGACGAGACAAGACATGCATCAGTTTGCAGATGCCGTGACAAAAACAACCACGATTGTTCGCGGGCAGCTGCCACGTCTTGCCCGACTGGGGCCATTGGTTCGCCAGGAAAATATTTGGTTTTATCAAGTGCTTCACCGTCTGCACCACAAGACAAGGCGCCTTGTGGAGGAGACAACCGGTGAGAAGTGTGATGAGGGCTCGTCCGTATTTGATGAAGGTTTCAACACGACAATGAACAAAACGGCGGAGCTCACAGGCGGTGCGTCTGTTGGGACGAACGTCCAAGAAGCTTATCTTCTGGACTCCCTTCACCAGCCGGATGACAATACCGTGTTTGAGGATTACATGGAAGGCGATGATACGATGTCTCCTGCTCAACCCTCTTTGGCGCAGCGAGAAAAACAGGCGGTCTATGACCCATTGCTACAAGAGGAGCAAAGAAAACGGCAGAAGGAGGAGTCGACGGCATCGGCTCCGGTTTTACGTGCACACAAGAGTTCTTTGTCATCAAAGAGGGACCAAAGTACCATGACTTCATCTGCAGGCAGTGTTGGATCTGTGCGAGAGAGACACCCACGTCGGGAGGTCTCCTTTGTTTCCGTTGACGATGCGGAAGACGCAACTAAAAACATGAATGAGGATCCCGAAGGTGCGCTACCTCTTCCCATCGCACATTCAACGCAAAGCGCTGTGGGAAACAACACGGCGGCGAAAGACCATGCATATCATTCTTTGGTGTCGCGGGGGGTACAAACCAGCTATCAGGAGTCTCGAGGTGTTTCCTCGAGCGTCGTTGACAATTCCTCTGGACGGGAAAACGAGAGTGCATCCACCATGAATGCCGGAGTCACGCAGAACGAAATGCGTCGATACCGTCAGCAAGAGCCGAGTTTTATTGACACCAAAAACAACAATGATGACGCCAACAACTCTTGGCGTGAGCCCGACCTCGAGGCTGAGAACGAAGGAGACGAGGAACCCATCGATAACTTAGCCCTACCGATACTGCAAGCTTCGACTCCTCATGTGGATGGTGTTGCCATCCCTTCCGGCCTTGTTCTTGAGTATTTGGCCACGCATCAGGGGGCTAAATCTGTACTTCATGAATTGCAGCAATTTGAAAAGGAATTGCAAGCCACACGTGCACAGGCTGCAGAGGTTGTGAGTTACGGTGCAAATAACTACGATGAACCTCACCAGGGCCGCGTCTTCACAGCCACGGCTTCACCGCACACGACTATTCTCCCTGTCACAATGGAGCGAAGACCAAACAACTATAGCGTTCCACATGCAACGCGCGCACCAGCTCCAAGCAAAACCGTCATGGCACGCCTTACCATGATCCAGGCTTCCGAGAGGCAGGGACAGCACGAGGTGCAGGCCAGTATTCAAGACGAAAATGAAGCATCCGTTGTCAAGAAGAGACGTGTGGAAGACGAACGAAGGGGAGCGGAATTGTCTCGGAATGATGCGAAAAAGGCGATGTTGCAGACTCCAGCGGCGAAAATGGGCACTGGGGCCCAATTCTTTCTTCACCAAAGCGTTTCTTCCGTCATGAAGGATTTGGGTGGCATGCGGAGGCAGGTAGAGGCCATGAATTCTGTAATGACACCCAATCAGGGCGGTACAATCGGTGTGCCACTCAATCAAGTAACTCCTTATGGCCAGATGGTGCTTCCAGAATGTTTTGTGGAGCAAAACAACGACACCGCCGTGCGGGAGATTCGCCAAGTGATGGGAACGCACAACCCCAACGACAGCCGTCTGTCCACTGGCGGGCGGCGAAAGATTCGTGGCACTGGAGGCTCAATCATCGGTGAACTAGAGAACAGTGCGGCATGGTGGGACGAGAAGAGTTCGGCTCCCATGCCGCAGTTTGCCACCGATCCACAGTACTCCATGGAGCTTTTCTAGATTACAGTTTTTTTATTTTACTTTTTAGATGCACATGAGGGTGTGGAGAGCTATCTCTAGTCTCCCTTAATTAGACTTTTATTATTATTAATATTATTATTTTTCTGTGGGGGGAGGGGCGATCTTCTCACTCTGGGGGAAGAAGAATAGAAGCACGGCTTTCACCTTCATATGTGTATACACAAGACTTTGCGTGAGGTTCCTGCCTATTTGCTTTTTTATCCTTGGTGCGCCTTGACGCTTCCCCGAGGGCGGTTTATTTTTGCTTTTTTTCCCGCTCGAGTAAACGAAGGGAGTTGATGCTTAGCGGGTGATGAGGGGTCTTTATTTATTTATTTTTTTTCTCCTTTCTGCTTTGTGGCCTTACTCGAGATGAACAACTACACCAAATAAACAGGCAGCAATACGGTTGAAGAATGCATGACAGCAATTGTCGTAGCGTGAGGAAGGAGGGAGGGATAGTGAGAACGGCTTCGCTGTTCCTTTTTCTTTTTGCCCTTCCTGTGACGATGGTGGCGGCCCGGGAGTCCGTTGGTGCCATGGACACTTCCTCCATTGTGTGCACCTGCCGCTGCTGTTATCAGGGCGGCTGCAGCCCCATGCCAAACATCACATGGGTCGTGTCCACGTGTGACCGATGTAGTACTGCGGTCTGCAACGAGTACATTCGAAGCAAAGAGGTGCGCATTGAGACGGCCCGTCTTTTTGAGGGCATCGAGAGCGATGAGCCTCTGCCAAGCATTGAGGAACAACTGAATGAGTGTAAGGTAATCTCCGTCCTGGAGGCAGCAACATGTTCCGGTCGGAACTGCAAGCGCACAACGACGATTAAGGCCGAGTGCTACAACAGGGACGCACCGCTCATCAAGTACTCCATCATTTCTTTTGTAAGCGTCACGGCTCTGGCTATTGTGTTTGGACTCATCAAGAATCACATCCCCGCTTTACATGGCCTCAACGAAAAGTATTTCAACTATTGAGTTTTCATTTGGAATCGGGGAATCGTGATTATTTCGCCAACCTCTTTTCTTCTCTTTCCTCAATATATATATATATGTACATGTATATATGCACAATTACATAATTCTTCCTTATTTTGCCGCCATCGCTTTCCTCTGGATTGAAAACTAAATATCAATGGATTGTTGACGGTTGTTGTTGTGGTAGTAGTAGCGGAGGAACACATGTATTCTTTTACTATTGGTAAAGTCTGTTCATTTTTCTGTTGGCCGCATCTTATTTTTTTTTTTTTTTAATTCTCACCTTCTTCTTTAATTACATTTTTGTAAGTCTTTTTTTTTTTTTTTTTCGTGTGTGTGCGTGTGGGGCGTACAAGAGGAGGGGTGAGCGAAGGGAAAGAAAAAGGAAAGGGCATCCAAGAAGGAGAGACGAGGGGTGGCAACAGAGAGGGGTCTGAAGCAGGTGGAGTCCAAAAGGCGGAAAAACAATACAAGGAAGGTGGTGATTCATTTATTTCTTTATCGAGTAGCAGCAATAGCAGCAGCGAAGTGCCTCACCAACCATGCAGCGATACCTGATGAACACGTCCTACCTCCAGGACCAACTGAAGGAGCTCCACGCGCTGCATAACAAGACCGTGACGGAGTACGGCGAGTTGGTGGAGAACCTCTTCAAGGAGTGCTCGATCCTCTGCGACGTGATCCCGAACTATAAGATTTCCGCCACGCTCGAGGATGAGGATGGCGCTCAGGGGGGTCGCAAGCAGAAGGAGGTGTATCTTGTGCAGAAGCTGGAGCATGAAGTGCTGGCACAATATGAACACTTCCTGCAGCTTCTTCGTAAATTACAACGGAAGACGCATCCGGAGCAACAGGCACTTGGGAGTCGTCTTTGTGCTCAGTTGGTCAATAGGGCGGCAGACTTCAACCACGCCGATAGACTGCTATCACTGGCAATACACTTTGCAAATGCGAAGTCCACACGGGTTGCGCAGCCAGCACTGAAGGCCCTTGCAGAACTTCTCGATGGACAGATGGTGTCGGATGCCACAGAGTCCATTGTGTCCTCCATGCTAGACATTGTGCGCAAGCAGAGTTATGCGATGAATCCGAAGCTGCTCTATCTTCTTCTTCATATTCGTGTGGCGCTGGTGGACATGCATCGCCGTGACCTGACGGAGGAAAAGGCCAAGAACAAGCGACTCAAGAAGGAAGATAGGGAGTTGGCTCGGCAAATGCAGAAAAGTAAAGCCCGTCGGGATCGGGCCGAGGTTGCCGTTAAGCAAAGCCGAATTCTACACCGTGTTTTTGTCATTTATTTGCGTGTTATCGAGGCTTCCAAGTCTTGTTCACCGCGGCATCAAACACGAATTCTTGCCCCGACATTGGAGGGGCTGGTGAAGTTTGCTCCACTTATCAATGTGGAGCTCTACCAGCAGCTTTTGACAGCCCTGAAGGACCTTGTCAATGACGAGACAACATCCATGACAACAAAGTTGCATGCTCTTGTTGCGGTTGCCACGCTGGCGCAGAGGGACGCCACTGCGACTGCCGGCGAGTGGCGGGTGGACCTCAGTTACTTCCATGAAGTACTCTTTCGTTGTCTTCCTGAGGCGCTTGGCATCCCACGGAGTGACACGGAACAAAAGTTCGGTGCAGCAGAAGAGGCTTCAGATGGGGATGAGACGGCATCACAAGGCTCCACTTCATCCGCCGGTTCCCTCTCCTCTCAGGCATTTTCGATTGTCGATTCCATGGCGCAAGCAAATATTTTGCAGCCCAACGTCTCAAAAGAGTGGACGTTCCGTGTGGGCCTGGTGCTACGTGCTGTGGACTTGCTGGTGCTCTCACAGAAGCATCTACCCATCCCCCGTGTGGCTGCCTTTGTTCGCCGTATCATGCAAGCCATCCCATTGTGCCCGCCACACATTGGACTTTCTTTGCTCACATTAGTTCACCGCCTCATCTTGCGCTATCCTGCTGTCGGTGGAATTATCATTGGCGGCAGCGACAATGTCATTGTGGGACGCGGCGCGTACAATCCAGCGGCAACACAAACTGCTTCCTCGAATGCCGAGAGTAGTTTTACGTGGGAAATCAGTCTCTTGACGAGGAGTTTTCATCCCACAATGCGACGTGTCGCGGATGCCTTTTGCCGTCACTTCCACAAACTGTCCAAGGCGACGCAGGGGCAGCCGCCAGTGGTGACAAAACAGTTGGACGCACTTGGACCGTATGAAGTGCTGGAGTCTTACGACCCGTCGACGGGGGAGTTGCGACCGCCCCCACCACCGCCGGAGTCGGTGCGGCGAAGGAGCGGCGCCACAAAGCGAGACCGTAACGGCACGCCGCTGTAACACGCGCGAGAAAGTGAGGACGGAAAAGGGTGAGAAACAAAAAGAAGGAGAGGTGTTGCGTGCACACAAAGAAATGCGGTGCGTGTGGACTCATGTATGCTCCATGACTCGTAAGTACATTTAAATTATGCGGTTAAAGAAAGAGACGGAGAGTGGATTCGAAGGGAATGGAAGGAAATATGAAAAAAATATATATCGAATTCCTCAGAGACTATTTCTCTTGTTTCTTTTTAATGCAGAGAGATTTGACCCGCGAAGGGGTGTTTAAAAGCAACGGCTCCATTGCTGTGCGGGAAAAGATAAAATAAATAATAAAAAAAAAACAGCCTGGAAGAGGGCATGTGCTTTCCTTTTTAAAAAAAAATTTTTTTTGTGTGTGCGTGTGTATTTGTGTGCCTCTTTTTTTCTCTTCGCACTTCAAAAGATCTGTAGTTAAGTTGAACAGAGATACTTCATTATATTTGACACAGTACGTTAGTATATATACATATACATATACATACATCCACCTTAGGAAGAAAGGGAGTGGAAAAAGTGATTTCGTGGGGTTCTTTAACGTTGGGAAAGTAGTGAACCTCCTTTTTTTTTTTTTAATATATATATATATATTTTGGGATTTTATTATTTATAATTTTCCCGGAACGAAATTGAGGGGAATGCAGGCACAGGATACGTTGTTGCGGCTCAAACCGTACGAGTATGCCCACGTATTGAATAAAAACAACAACGTGACAGAACTTATTGTTGGCCCCCAGGCGCGTGTCATCGCCTCCGATGAACGGCTTCCCAAGCCTGTGACACCGTTTCATGTTGTGCCGCGTGGGAGTTATTGTATAGTAGAGAACCCCCACGTTCGGGGCAGCGATGGGGTGACACCTGTGCGTGACAGAGACGGGCAGGTCAAGGTGCGTCTTGGTGAGCGGGAGGTACGTCTCGGCAGCACGGCCTTTCCGCTCTATCCCGAAGAGAAACTTGTGGTTGTGTCTCCGATGAAATTTCTCCGCCAGGACGAGGGTCTTGTAGTGCAGGCATTATGCAACTACACTTCCAGTGATGGTGTGAAGCGCATGGCAGGTGAACGCTTTCTCTTCACTGGCCCCGGCACGTATTGCCCGCGTGTGGAGGAAGAGGCTAGAGAAATTTGTCGCGCCGTGCTCATCATGCCGGGTCACGCAATACGGCTTTCTGCGTTGGAAACGTTTACAGACAGGGACGGTAAATTGCGGAAAAAGAACGAACAATATCTTCGTACAAAACCCGGCTCATATCTTTGCTCCGTCTCGGAAAAGTTTTTGGGAAATGTGTCTCCTATAGTGTTGCATCCTGGTGAAGGACGGCATGTGGAGGTGCTGCAGCGTTTTTTGGATGAGAGAGAACACGGGAAGGGGGTGGAGCGTATTGCAGGGGAAAAGTACCTTATCACATACGAAGATTCTCCCTCGTTTCTGTTGCATCCGTATGAAAGAATTGTGAAGGTTGTAAATAAATTTCATGTGAGCAAAAAGCAGTACGCGGTTGTGATTGACGAGAATAAATCATATCGTCGCTTCATAACGGATGCCTCGTTTTACTTGCAGCTGGGTGAGTCTCTTGAGGGTGATGCCATTCATGACAGTTACATTCTTCACGAAGGACAGGCTCTTTTATTGAAGGCATTGGGGGACTTTCAAGACACAGACGTCGATCCACCGGTCAGGCGGCGGGCTGGGGATGTTTGGCTTTTGCAGGGCCCACGAGAATATATTCCAAACGCCCTTACGGAAGTATGCAAGGATAAAGATAATAAAGAGGTGCGAGAACGCATCATACTCACCAATGGGAAGGGGATCTATGTACGGGATAACGCTACGGGGGAAGTGAGGGCAGTGAATGGCCCAGATGCGTACATGTTGGCTGCCTCTGAGGAACTATGGGAGAAGCACTTACCACCGGATGTGGAGAAGTGTCTTGAACAACAGAAATATTTGTCTATGGAGACGAGCGTTGGGAGTCCCTCTTGTCCACCCTCACCTTGCAAAGAGCTTCGGGGGAAGACACACTGGACTGTAATGTACAAAGTTCCACCTAGAAGTGTGACACAGGTCTACAATTACAGAACATTAGAGACTCGGACGATTTTTGGGCCGGAGCGTGTTTTGTTGGAGCCCGATGAGGAGTTTACTGTCATCACACTCTCGGGGGATTTGTGGCATTTTGATAATCCAGGTAACTGCCTCCCGAAGGAATCAAATTACATCAAATCACTGCATTTGTTTCTTGGACCTTCCAATATGACGGATATTGTGCATGTGGAGACACGGGATCATGCCCAACTTGCCTTGCAGCTGTGTTATGCCTGGTACTTTGATGTTACCCCCGGCGATGAATTGGCTGCAGGGAAATGCTTCAGCGTGGGCGACTTTGTCGCGGATACCTGTTCCTTTATCGCAGGACGCATCCGCGCAGCAGTGGCATCATTGCCGTTTCAACAATTTCATAAAAACAGCGCCAAGATATTACAGGAAGCCGTGTTTGGGGTGGATCCGGTAAGTGGAGGTACAAAGACGGAACTCCGTTTCGAGGCGAATAACTTTGTTGTCACATCTGTGGACACGCAGCGGATGGAGGTTCTTGACTCACGTACCCGTGAAGGCCTTCAGAAGTCCGTTAAAATTGCCATTGAAATCTCCACTCAGGCGCAGGAGTCCAATGCGCAACAAATTGCACTGGCACGTGAGCAACACTCCCGAGGGTTGCTTGAACGGCAAAAGATGCAGGACCAGGTTGAAAATGAAATACAGCGAAGAGTGTTACTGGAAGCCGAGACGCGCAGTCTTGCCATGCAAAGTTCTGGTCGTGTACGGTCCATTGCGGATGCCACCGCAAAGGCAGCAAGTGTGGAGCAAGAGGCGACACTAGAAGCCGCACGTATTCGCGCAAAGAAGGATGAAATTACAAATAATATCTTGGCAGAGGTGGAGCGTATGAAACGGGAATTACAACATGAATACGAGGCCCAGCGAGTTGCATTGGCTCATAAGTTGGAAGCGGAACTCGCTGACATTGAAAACAAAAAATTCTCGGCAGTGATGGATGCCATTGGCCCTGAAACTGTGATGGAGATTTCCAAGGCCGGGCCCGAACTCCAGGCGAAATTGTTGGAGAATTTGGGGTTGGAGGGGTATCTTGTCATGGACGGCAGCACGCCGATAAACCTCTTTCGAACTGCCGCAGAAATGACTGCACAATCTTCTGCTTAAAGAGAAGCTGAAGAAAAGAACATGGGTGGAGGGAAGTTGCCACCTTTTTTTGTTTTTTTTGTCCTTTTAAAATGTGTTATTTTTCTTTACGGTCCCTTTCCACCACTTTTTTTTTTTTTTAATTTTTTTTCTTTTATTTTATTTTTTGTGTGCGTTCTTTTCGTTTTCCGAATCCCTCCACAGAAGTGGCGTGTTCTACTGACCATCCTGCGAGCGCGCAGGCCTCTCCAGCATGAGGTGGGGATTTATTGTCGTTATTTTTTTTCCTCCCGCTTTTTATTTTTTATTTTTATTTTTTTGCTCCCCGTGTCGGCTGAGGAGTGGGCGGCGAAGGTGAGAGAGAGAGTGCGCACGTCTTTGCTGCTGACAGTGTGGGCAACGGAATATGTTTCACTTCACCGTGGGGTCGTTGAAAAACCTCAACTCGTGGTATGCCAAGGGCACCATGCGGGGCGGGGTGCCGCGCATTTACTACGCGTGGATGCGCCCTGGAAGCTTTACGCGGCGCCGTTTTGAGAAGATGCGTAATCCATTTGTAGATTTGGAGACGGGAACATCCCTCTACTTCCGCGATACCCGTGATTCGGCGGAGGCGGTGGCGCATGCCGCGGACTCCAAAGGCCTGAAGGGGATGGATAACGCCATTGACTTGTACAACGAGTACCGCATTGTACCGGATCTTTACCCCGAAGGATTTCAATGGAAGCACAAGTTAAATACGGAGTACAACCAGTGGCGCTCAAACACATGGCTGACTCCCGATTTGATTCCTCAAGAGCATCGAGGACGCTTTCTTTGTAATTTCCAATTAAACATCGTGGCATACGACATGCGCGTTGTGAAATTTAGTCCAAAGGATCACCGGCAGTGGATCTACTGCGTCTTGTATGTGGGAAGTGGTAAAGGAATAGCGGGATGGGGTCGCGCCGTGGCGCCGAGTACGCAGGAAGCGAAGAAGGAAGCTATACGGGAGGCCTTTTCTAATATCATTGCGGTGGATTTGGAACAGGAGGGACCCATGTATCCTGTGCGAGTCAACGCCGATGGTGTGCGCGTGCTCCTTTACCCTGCTAAGCGCATTGTGGCCAACTTTCGTGTGGCCGACATTCTATGTGCGTTTGGGTTTCAGCACGCTGGTTGTCGAATAAATTTGAAGGCGACAAATAATCCCAAGTCACCAACTCACACGGTGGAAGGCGTATTTGAGGCAGTCAAGGCACTTCGTAGCGTGAGTGAAATTGCCGCGAGTCGTGGTAAAGTTCCACACTCCCTCATTTATAATATCTACCCTTACTTGGAGGAGATACGTCGTAGAAAGGGCATGATGGCGATGCATCCACCAGGCAAGGACGGTTTACTTATGCCAGACCGTGTGGTGGACAATCGACTCCCCGACCATTTGAAGAAGGGTTACTACGACGATGTGTACTGGAAAGACTTTTTTGCTGGTAGCCGGGAGCATCTGAATGAGCCAAAGATGGGGCTCCGTGGAGATGAGATGCGGCAGCGGTTAGAATCCGCACAGTCCCGTCCGATCTCATCGTCAACAGGCAGCGGACGACGGACACTGGAGGACGTGTTAAAGCGATTAGGAAAAACGACAAAAGACCTGGGATCCATTCCTATTGTGAACCCGCGGCTTGACATCAAGCTGCCAACGCACATCAAGCGCAATTATTCACTTCACTGATGTGACGGTAATGAGAAAAGGGGGGAATGTACGCAGAAAAAAAACTTCAATACCAATGTTTACCGTACAGTTGATTGTCGTGTGCATTTTCATCTCTATGGGTCGTTAGTCATTATTATTATTTTTTTTTTTTTGCGGATTTGCTCTTACTTTCCTTTTATTATTATTATTATTGAAATTCCCATCACTTGTTGGTGTTGTTGGATGACTTGTCTCTCTTTTTTTTTTTTTTTCGTGGCGTGGCGTGGTGCCACACGAACGGGGGAGCGGAAAGGCTGGCGGAGGAAATGAATAGGAAGAAAGGCGTCAATCAAAGGCAGCAGACAGCGGCATCGCACGCCCCGCCTACTCAAACCATTGGCTCGGAATTGCTAGAGAACGAGGAAAGCAAATGCACATCCTTCAAGGCGCTTGGGCTGTGCGAGGAACTCATCAGTGCCTGCGCGGAGGCGGGGTGGCAAAACCCAACACGCATCCAGGCGGCAACAATTCCCGTTGTGAAAGAAGGACGGGACATCATCGGTGTGGCGCAGACAGGCAGTGGTAAGACGGGGGCATACGTCCTTCCTCTTGTAAACTGGCTGCTCACCCAGTCCAAGGTTCCTTACCTTTCCGTTCTTGTGATGGTCCCGACCCGTGAGTTGGCGCAGCAGGTAACCGCGCAGTTTGTCATGCTGGGACACAGCGTGGGACTGCGCGTGGCGACGTTAGTAGGAGGGGCCGACATGGTGGATCAGGCCTGTGAGCTAAGCAAGCGACCGCATGTTGTGGTCGGCACCCCGGGGCGCATCAAGGATCACTTACAGAATACAAAGGGGTTTCAACTCGTTAAGCTTCACGCACTCGTTTTGGATGAGGCAGACAAGATGCTTGACATGGACTATGAAAAGGAGATCGATGCAATCCTGGAGCACCTGCCACACAGTCGTCAGACCATGCTTTTCTCCGCAACCCTCAACACCAAAATTGATCGCCTACAGAAGGCTTCATTGAATGATCCCGTTCTGCTGGAAGTGCATAGAAAAAATACAACTGTAGACACTCTGAAACAATACTATGTGTTCTGCCCCTTTGCACAAATGTTGCCATATCTTCACTTGTACTTGACGCGTGAAACGGGTAATCACATCCTTGTTTTTTGCCGTAGCGCTGCGCTTGTGCACCGCATCACACTTACACTTCGTATTTTGGGGCACCAAGCACTGCCACTCATGGGGCGCATGGATCAAACAAACCGTAACATTGCTCTGACAAAATTTAAGGAAGGAAAGGTACGGATTTTAGTATGCACCGATGTGGCACAGCGTGGATTGGACATTTCCCACACGGACGTGGTTGTCAATTATGCGCTACCGGATCGTGTGGAGGATTACATTCACCGTGTGGGACGCACTGCCCGTGCGGGGGCTCAAGGCAAAGCTGTTAACATTATCAGTCAATATGATATTCTTCTACTACAGAGAATTGAGGCCACCACGGGGGTAAAGTGTGAAGAATGGCCTGTTCAAGAGGGCGATGTGGCGGCGGTGCTGCAGCGTGTGGAGGACGCCGAACAAGAGACCATCAAGGAGATTCGAGAGAATGAGCAGGAGTCCAAGTTTGAAAAGGAGGTGCGCCAGTTGGTCACGGCAAAGAAGGGAAAGCGGGAACGAGGAGAAGGTGACATGGGCTACGACGACTCCAAGCACGGCAAAGTGGATTTTGCAACGTTGCGGCTGCGCCGTGAGAATGAGGCCGTGTTTAAGATGACAAAAAAGGAGCAACGCAAGTCTCTTTGGGCAAAACGTCGCGAGACACAAAAGAAGATCAAATCGCAAATGTAATGAAGCGAGATCAGAAGTAAAAAAGCAAAAAACAAAAAAAAAAAAGAGTATCTGCGTTTACCAACAGATGACATACTTACGTGTAAATGGAAGAGGGGAAAATGAAAGGTAAATGAAAAAAAAAAAAAAAAAAGGAGGTGAGCCAAATGATGTTTGGGCGGAGCGGGGTGGCATTGCTCACGGACGTGTGGTGCAAATGGCCGCCACCGCTTTTGGGTGGGCGTGTGTGGTGACCATGATAATGATAATAATGGTGGTGCTAACACTATGACTTTAGCGTGGAGATTTTTTCCTGTATTCAAACTATTTTACTTGTTTCATTTTCCCTCATGTTGCTCAGGGAGTTTTGGTTACATTTGCGTCTCTTTCTCTGCATGGCTGCTATGTTTTTTTTTTTTTTTTTTGCTGTTGTCCTCTTTGTGAGTAGCGAGGGATGACGCATGCTCTTCCTTCACTGGAGGCTGTTCGAAGGGACGTGGGTGGTGGGGATAAGAGCACCCGCTCACGTTTGGAGGATGTATTCAATCGTCTCACGCGCGATAGGGTGCCGTACGCCTCACACTACTGCGAGGAAAACACATATAAACTTATTGAGATCTTGTATGCCGAGTATGCCGTTCCTGATGACGCTGTTTTTGCTGTTTTCGTGAGCAATGAGCGCAAACAGACGCCTGTGTGGATGCAGCGTCTTGCCGAAGCAGATGAGCGGGATCCGGTTTTGTGGGACTATCATGTCATTGCTCTCATGACGGACACATCGGGTAATTGGTGGGTGTGGGACCATGACACGGTTCTGCCGTACCCGTGTTCAGCAAAGCGATACATAATGGAGTCCTTCCGACCAGAGATGCAGATGCGTGAGGAATACAGGCAATGGTTTCGCGTCATTTCTGGACGTAAGTACTTGGCGAATTTTTCATCGGATCGTTCACACATGAGGACATCGGACGTTCCTCCCCCGCCATGGCCCATTATTCAGGGTTTCTTAGCCGCTACAACTATGCAACTACCTTTTTATTGGAATATGGCCAAGCAGGATGACAAGAAGGCGAACATGGATGGGTCAATGGGAGACGCTTATGGGAATGTGGTGAACATTGAGGGAATGATGGCTCTTGTTTCTAATGATTAAAAAAGATTTTTAAAAATTGTGGGAGGGATCATATCACACCTGTATGTTCGACACATTTTTTGTTTTGTGTGCTGTGAAGGCAGGTTCCTCTGGCGGTGGCGGAAGGAACCGTGAAAATGGTGTTGGTTCCACCGCAATTGTCGTGTCTCGAAATATAGATGACCAAAATGCCCGCATTGGCATTGAATGCGTGGGTGATGATGATGATGAAATTGATGCGGATGGCTTGTGATGTGTATTTTCTTTTTTTTTGCTGTTGCTGTTGCTGTTGCGGTCATGTGGTGGCGTTCCGCTTTGCATATGCCGTTTTTATGCCCATTCTTTTGCGTTTCTGTTTTTGCATATGTGCCGGGAGGGAACCCAAATGAACGTGTCTTTCTTCTCCCACTGGGTTATTGGTCTCTGCCGTTGTTTTTGTCTCTTTTTTTCCCTTTTTTTTTTTTTTTTGTCTTGTGTGTGCGTGTGTGCTCGGGAGAATTCTTACGGTCAAGGGTGATTCATGTCGGAGGAGACTGGCGTGGGATCGGCGCCGGCCACCAGGAAAAAACGTGTGCGGCATCACCGCCCGAAGAGGAAAGGCTCCACCGCCGTGGAAGCGGTCGATGATTCCCACAGGTCGCTGGAGGAAGACGCCGAGGATGTGGCGGTGGAGAAAACAACTGAAGTCCCCGCAGCAGCAACAAAAGAAGAAGGGGCGGGGCGGCGCGTGAAAAAGGCCCGCCCGGAGTTGCCTTCCCAACAGGAGGAGAATGCGGAAGAGGAAAAACAGGAGCGGTCCGTAAACCCGGATGACGCAACGAGGGCTCCGAAGCAGCGGGAAAGGGCCCCATGTGTATCCGATTACAAGGCACTGAATTTGAATCCACACATTGTCACGGCCCTTGAGAACGACTTCAAATTTGGGGAGTTGACGGGCATTCAGGGACGATGTGTTCCCGCCGCCCTCAGCGGTCGGGATCTTCTAGCCGAGGCAAAGACCGGGTCCGGTAAGACACTTGCATTCCTCATTCCAATCGTGGAGATCATATCGCGGGCAGGGTTTCGAGCAAAAAATGGTACCGCCGCTGTCATCATTGGCCCCACACGTGAACTCTGCCTGCAGATTGAGGGCGTGTTGCTGAAGCTGCTCAAGCATTTCAATGGATCTATCACCTTTCTCTGCTGCATTGGAGGCCAAAGCCGCAACCAAGAGGCCTTTAAACTTGTAAATGGTATGATGATAGTCATTGCTTCTCCCGGACGTCTTTTAGACCATTTGAAACTCACCACCGATTGGCTCACGAAGAATCTTCTTGTTTTAGCCGTGGATGAGGCAGATCGTGTCTTGGACAATGGCTTTGAGGAAGATATGCGCGAGATTGTCTCTCTACTGCCCAAAAAGCGTCAGACTTTTTTGTTTTCTGCCACTCAGACAACGCGGGTGGAGCAACTGGCACGAATATCGTTCTACCGACCTCCACTCTTGATCTCAATGAAGCGTCGGGAAGAAAAGGCAACGGTCGACACACTTGAACAGGGATATGTCATGTGTCCATCTGAGCAGCGACTGCTAGTCCTGTATCATTTTGTGAAGCGTAATTTAAAGAAGAAGATGATTGTCTTTTTTAGTAGTCGAAACGCCGTTAGCTTCCACTGTGAGTTGTTTAATTACATTGACGTTCCGTGTGTGGCTTTTCATGGAAAGCAGAAACAGCATCAACGTTCGGCAACATACATGCAGTTCTGCAATGCGCCTAGTGGAGTGCTCTTCACAACAGATGTGGCCGCTCGTGGCTTGGACATCCCTCATGTAGATTGGATTGTGCAGTTTGATCCCCCAGATGATCCCGTGAAGTACGTGCATCGTGTGGGTCGTACAGCACGCGCTGGACGTTGCGGAAATGCACTCATGTTTCTTCTTCCTCAGGAGAAACTATTCCTTAAATATCTATACGATGACGCACATGTCACGGTGAGCGAGTACACCTTTGACCTCAGCAAGGTGAAGCAGGGTGTGTGTGAGCAGCTGGAGCAGCTTGTAAGCACCAACTATTACCTTCGCACTTCTGCCCGCCAGGCCTACGAGGGATATCTCCTCAGTTACAGCAGCTCGCAGCTCAAGAATGTATTTGACATCCACAATCTTGACTTGGCAGCTGTGGCGAAAGGGTTCGCGTTGAGTGAGCCCCCACCGCTGAAGTTGGACCTCTCGCAATCCGCGGCGCATATGAGCAAAAAGTCACGTCGTGAATTCCGCCACATGAAGGAGACCAAAGACAAGAGGCGTCGGGCAGTGAATGAGGAGACCCTGAAGAAGCGCAAATCGAACATTAGTGGAGAGTGGTGAGGTGTGGGGTGTTTGCCTGAAAAGAGAGAAGAGATGTGTTGTTCTTCACCTTGACGTCTTATTAATATTCACACTCAACGATTAAAAAAAGGAAAAAAAAAGGCCATAAAAAAAAGTATTTAATTACTTGTGTGAAGAGAGATGGAGAAGAAAATAAAACGGTGTGGGTCCGAAAGGAGAGAAAAAAAAAAAAAGATTTTTGGTATGATTTTTGGTGTTGAATTTTTTTGTTATTTTGGCTTGTGCGTGTAGCGCCTTGTGGGTGTCTGTGGGTGCTTATTTCTCTGACATGCATTTCCGCTCTCTTTCCTATGCCTGTTTGTACTTTTTACACGCATACTTGTATGTGTGTGTGTATATTTATGTATGGATGGATGGTTGCTGTCTACATGTGCGCGGAGGGTTGGATGCATTTATGGCTTTTTTTCGTTTGGGTCTTTTTTTTCCCGGCGATGATTTTTTGCTTCTTTTTTTTTCTTTTCTTTTTTCCCTTTACTCGAGCGCACCCCTTCTTTTTGTGTTTCTGTGTGCCTTTCGTGACGGAAGGACACAGAAGTGGAAGGAGCAGATAACCGTGGCGTCCTTTTGTCATTTATACCCGCAGTTTCCACCTGCACTCCACAGCGGGGGGAAAGAGGAGGCAGATCGAAGAATAAACATCTCCCTCCGTGCGTGCGTGCGTGCAAGAGAGAGAAGTCGCTGGCGTAGCCCTTTCTAATTTCTTATTTTTATTTTTTTTTTCTGTGTTTGTGTGTGTGTGTGTGTGTGTGTGTGGCTTCTGCTTGTATTCCCACCGCCTGCATACTTCTCTCTCGTGTAGCCGCGGTGCAATGAAGCGGGCACGAAGCAGAAGAGGGAAGGCGGATCAAAGTGTTAGTCCTCCGCGACGACGGGTTGAAGCACATGCTTCCGAGGATGTGTCGGAGGGGCAGTCAAAACATCGACAAAGGGACGACGACACGGGGCTGTTGACAGCAGCTCAGCGGGAATCGCGCGGTTTTGCGTACGTGCGGGACGCCAGTGAAAACACATCGTTGCCTATGGAGACACCAGGCGCCATGGAGGGTGAGCCCACCGCACCGTTGCCCTCTGTGAAGGGAGCCGTCCCAAGTAATGCTGATGAAGAGGGCGAGGAGTTTGTGTCGCCATTTGGGGCGCGGTCTTTAACGCGTGGGTTTTCCCATTTACGAGAGTCCATTTCCTTTGCATTGCCACGACTCCGTGGGAGTGAGCATAGGGTTAGCATTTCACGCGGCGGAAGTGTTCTTTTGCCTCTTTCTACGCCCCCCCATGAATCTGCGTCGGGTAGCAGCATTTCATCGTCACACTCACTGCGTGTGAGCCGAGGAAACAACCAACATGCTCAACAACGACAACAACAACAACAACAACAACACCATCAGCAGCAGCAGCAGCGGCGGCGGAAGTATCATAATCACAGGGTTAATGGGAGTGATCAGAGTTTTCTAAGCACGCGCAGTGCTATCGAATACCTCAACAGCACCGGTTCCTTGGGCGGAGTGCTTTCTTCGAGGGAAAGCAGGCGGTCAAGTCAGGCCACGGGCTCTCACCACTCCCATTCAAAATCAACTTTAGGACCAATCGATCTCTCACCCATATTGAAGGAGAGAAAACGTCAAAGAAGGCGTGCCGCTCCTCGTGGCGGCGTTGAAGCCAATGCTCTTAATGGCGGTAATAATAATAGTGGCGGTGGCGGTGACTTCTCCACGCGTCGACCGCCTCTGAATGGGTTGCCGATCGAAGTACCGGCGGCGATGATGAATCCAGCTGATATAGAAGTAAGAAATTCACGGAGTTTGGCGTTAGAGGCGTTTCATCACTCGATGGCGCGCTACTCACGTGCGACAAATGTTTTTCTCATAACTTGTTTATTTGTTTTTCTTTGGGGACTGCTGGCCGCGCCGCTTTTAATACAGCAAACTGGTCCTGAAGACGTCTTTGTGCGACACTACGTGGACTCCGTATCCGAGTTGCATTTTATCTATGAGGTGCCTTACATGTCTCTCAGCTTTCACGAGGCGAGGCGTTTGTACCTTCGCGTCTTGAGCGAAACATTGGAGCGTCTCGAGCGAGCCACCTCACACATGAGGCCCCCCGATACAGATGTCAAGGCGCAGATCCTGTACTACAAGCAGATGATAAGGGCATATTTGGCTCTCAGACATCGTGCACGACTTTATGCACGTAGTCGTGACCGAAGTCGTTTAAATCAGTTTGTGTTTAACCCTCTACGGGATGTCTGGTATTATGGGATTTTAAGAAACGGTTTTAAGATGACGTTGTACGAGTTAATTTTAGAGCCTTCATTTTCCCTTTTTTTGGCGCGAGTGAAGGATATTGCTCTGTGCCTTCGTCAGGACGAGAAGTTGCCGTGCCCAACACTAGCGTACCTGGAGGAACGGGAGAAAAAACAGCGGCAGTGGGAGGGGGTTGGGGAAACTCAGCCTGACATTTTGACGAACGATGCGGTGAAGGATTCGAGTTTATTCCATGAGGAAAAGGCAGTGGAGGAGTTGCGACGTCTAAACCGGACGTTGAACTATGTGAAGGAGAGTTGTCGCCAAAGTAACCGCGAGTACAATCATCTGTACACTATAGACAACACTCAGTCGATGTTATGGTGATATACCGTGGCGATATATTTCTGTTTTCCTTTGAACCGTACCACATTGGTTGAGAATTCGTTTGCTGCGTGTCGTTGTGAAGGAAATTGAAGAAGAAAGAAAAAACACTCACACGAAATCGGATTTTGTTGTTATTTTTTGTCTGTGCTTTTTTGTTTGTTTGTTGAGGCCCGTGGTTTAGTCGGGTGACGGGTTGTGGTGAGAGGGGCGAATTTTCTGCCCACGTCTGCTGATATGTATGCATGTTTACTGGGGTGTCTTTTTAAATTTCTTGTTGTTGTTTCCTTTTCTCGTGGTAATTGTGGCCGTTTTGCGACTTCTGCCGCAGGGGAGCGTTGCGAAAAAAAAAAAAAAAGAGAGAAAGGAAGGAAGGAAGGAAGGAGTACCAGGGAGGCGGGAAGGGGCGAGGAGGGCCCTTAAGAGTGGAGTACGGGGCGGTTTTTTTGTTGTAGAAGATTGCATGCTTTGGCGGTCACGGCAATCTTGTGATGGAGGTCACGCCATGCAATTTAGTTCTCTTGGGCTCCGAGGGGGTGGGGAAGAGCGCAATATTGCAGCAGTTTTTGAAGAAGACATTTCGTCCGGATTACGTCCCGACTACATTAGAGACATGTGTGCACGTTGTCAGCGTGGATGGAAATACGTATAGACTGCATTTTTGCGATTGCTCCGGCAGTCGTGGATTTAGCGTTCACCGTGCGCCATATATCGTGGAGGCGCACGGTGTCATGCTTGTTTACTCTACCACCAGTAGGAACTCGCTTGTGCATCTTCTGGGGTGCGCAAATGAGGTTTTTAGTACACGAAGGCAACATGGCGTTAAAGGGAAGATTCCCTTTATTCTTGTAGGCACAAGAGCGGATATCGTGGGGCGTCGTGTCGTGACTATAAATGATGCAAATCGCGTGGCGCAGGGGTGTCTGCTGGCGTTGGGTTTGAAGATTTTTAAAGAGAAGAAAAAAATAGGATACAAGGGTGGGTGCAACAACGGAGGTATGGAGGTTGATCCCATCAACGACCTACCTGTGTTGGAAATATCAGGCGCAAATACACATGAGGTATCTCAGGTAGTGTACACAATGATTCGCATGGTGCGTTACTTCCGTGCAACGTCTCGGCTGCCCAGGTTTAGTTTGATTTGCCCAGGCGTGGTGCCGCGCCGATATGTCGTAGTAGAAACAAACTTAGACGCTCATTCGGGCGGTGCCAGTAGCAGTACTTCCCCGGACGGTCGTTTCACACCGGCGTTGTCTGATAATTCACAGGCAACCTCGCATCGCCACGCTTTTCACATGTCGCCAGTTGGTTCGGATGAATGGAGTGCCTCATATTCTCCGAGGAGCGTTGGTGTAACACAAAGCGTGCGTTCAAGTGGCGTGGAAGAGGACCGGGCGATTGTTCATCCATACCTGCAACAGGTAGAAGATCGTGAGGTCATCTTCAGCTTACCGCCGCGAATTTCCTCTGATGCATCCGTCAATGTATCTGCGAGTACTAAGACGCAATTGTCATCCTTTGCATTGGACGGACCGTCGGAACGACGGGCACCAAAAGTTGGACCAACTGACAGGCAGTGTCCCCGCTGTCACTTCATGTAGCGTACATTAGGCGCAGTTTTTTGAGACCTTAGGATTTACGATGCCTGCAGGATATATATATATATATATATATATATATATGTAATATCACTACTATTATTCCCCCTCAATAACTTGTTTTATTTGAATTTGTTATTTTCAGTGATGGATATTTATTTGGTTTGAATTATCAATAATATTTTTCCCTTTGTTTTGGTTTTTTTCTGCTTGGTTTCAGATTTTGCCTGAGTGCAGCTTTTTTTTGTGTGTGTGTGTTTATTTATGCGTGTTCTTTATCATGTTTCACTGCACTTCTCCATGCGAGTGTAAGAGGCAGTGGCTCTCATGAATGGAATCTTTGTTTGATATTTTGTTGGCGGCTCTGGTTGCGCTTATTCTCTCTGTGCCGCCACAGGTGTTTTTGTTGTGTGTGTGTGTTTGTGTGTGTATGTGTGAAGACTGCATTGGTAATTGGAGAAACCATGCGTCCAGGTGTGAGTTGGAAGGGTAGAGAGTGTGTGAGATACATATGACGGCGATAGGTAACAGGTGGAGGGAGTGATGCGGCGAGTTCATGAACGCTTCTCCTCATCAATTAACCCCCTCTTTTTTTTTTTTTTTTTGGGGTCTTTCTGGTGCTTACCAGGATGTATTTGCGACCGGCGTTTGGTATCGCGGTAAAGAATTGAACTCGTGGCTGCCAGCTACATGCTTTGCTGTAATGTGCGGGTGTGTTTGTTGCGGCCCAAGAGGTGGAGAGTTGTATGTGTGTGTGCATCTTGATTTCTTTGCACGGCTTTTTTCTTTTTTCATTAGGCCCGTCACACGCAGAGACGGAGTGAGGGGAAGGGAGGCAAATCAAAGGACAGATAATAAAAGGAAACGAAGGAAAATTAACACCCGGGGGAACCGGCAAAAAAGACATGTTGACTGTCACGGAGGACAAAATTCCCGTTCCCCTTATTCCCGATACAGAGTTATGTGATGTTCGGATCGGGGCGACGGATCCAGCGCTTTTTTTTTGCATCAACTTGGACTCGCCATGTCAGGTGAAGATTGAGTTTCAGGAGTTTAACACTGCCGCGCGGTGTGTGCTGCTACTCAGTTCCACAGATCCTCGGCCAAGCATCCATACCGCCGTCTGGAAGTGCCTTTCCCCCGAGCAAAAAAAGACAGTTACACTATTGCCTGCTGATCCCTCTTACCGTGTGGGACCGTTGTACCTTGCAGTACGCTATGTAGAAAAGAGCGGAAATACTTTTGTTCGTCTCAACTTGACACTGCAGGAACAGTATGAGGCGGAGTGGTATTCGCAGTCGAATGGTGCCTTGTACTACGGCATGTGGTCCGGCTTCTGTTATCATGGACGTGGTCGATGCATTTACGGCGTGGAGCCGGAACTGATGGAGAAGGGGACTCTCAAGTGGACCGGAAGGAGTTTGAGGCAGCAGAGTAATTCCTTGTCTTGGCAATTTGACTCCACACCACCGATAGAGGACGGGAAACTAGCCATCAATCGAAAGGATTTGGGATGGTCCATTCTTCCCCTACCCTCTCCGAAACTGGAATTGTACGATGGGGAATGGGTGCATGGGAAAAAGGAGGGTCTTGGGGCCTATCAGTGGGCCGACAGGGCGTATTGGGGAATGTGGAAGGGTGGTGGGCGAGAAGGGTTGGGTGTACTATGTACACGTGATGGATATCGTTACGAGGGTGAGTGGTTGAACGATAAAAGAGATGGAGTTGGGAATGCCTTTTACCCGGATGGGACGCAGTATATGGGTGGGTGGAAGAAAGATAAGCGATCGGGTGAGGGTTTATTTAATTACACAAATGGAATTGTTATTAGAGGTACCTGGGAAGAGGACGTATTGTGCCCAACGGTAACTGCAACCTACGCCGATGGATCTTCTTATGTTGGCGAATGGGCCCACGACTGTCGTCATGGTAAGGGACGTCATATTGATGCAATTGGAAACGTTTTTGACGGAATGTGGGATATGGATAAGCGTACAGGAAACGGAACCTTGCAGTTTATCAATAATGTGATATGCGTCGCTCTTTGGGAGGAGGATGTAAGAAAAGATGGTACGTTTAATTTTCCTAATGGAGAAGCATATGTTGGGGATTGGAATGATGAAAAATACATTCGTGAGGGACAAGGAAAATGTACCTACCCCAATGGCGATGTTTATGAAGGGAGCTGGAAAAATGATAAAAGGCATGGTTTTGGTAAGTTTGTTTATTCTGGTGAGAAATGTGTTTACGAAGGTGAATGGAAAGAGGGGAAGCGACATGGTATTGGGACGCAAGAGAGTGAGGAAGGAACGTACCAAGGGGAATTTCAAGACGATATGCGTTATGGACATGGGCTACACCTGGGTCGTACCGGCTCCATGCACAGAGGCATTTGGAAAGATAACGGTTGCATTGGTCCTGGTGTCAGGTTTGATTCCAAGAAGGGAATCATGTATGATGGTCTTTTTCTTCTTGGAAAGTTACAGAGTGTTGGCACATCGCGAACAGAGAGTGATATTTATGAAGGAACATGGTGCGATGGTGAGCGGCATGGCGTAGGTGTGGTGTCGCTCCCTAACGGTGATGTTGTGCGCCACTTGTGGCACCGCGGGGTCCCTCAGGACGGACATGTTATCTACATGTACCGTGATGGTGATAAATATGAGGGAGAGTGGAAGGATGGGCGTCGTTGTGGGAAGGGGACACAGTGGTACGCGGACGGATCTGTTTACATGGGCGAATGGCTTGATGACAAGCGGCATGGCAGTGGATCATACACGGACGTCCGTGGTGAGACTTTGGTGGGAGAGTGGTGTGGAGGGGAGCGCATGGACGTGAAGGGGAGTCTGCGCCTTTTGGATGGCACCGTCTATGAGGGCGAAATGCGTTTGGGCAAGCCACATGGTAACGGACGTCTGAAGTATCCCGATGGTACCGTATTTGAAGGCCGATTTAGTAACGGCGTTTATCTCCTGTAAACTATGGAGGGGGGTTGGATGGGATCTTTTATCTCTTTTTCTCCATCTTTCCCTTTTTATGTATTTTATTGAAGAGCTTGTGAGTTACAAGCAACAAACGAAACCACAATAATAATAAAATATGGCAGTGTTGGAAACAAATGGCTTTACGGCCTATGAATTATATCTCAAATGTGTCATGGGGTCTTCTTTTCTACCAGTGCTACTTTTTTTTTTTGTTTTTTGTTTTAAGGAAGCAGATACAAGGAGGAAGGGGAGAGGAGTAGAGAAATATACGCCTAGAAATTAGTTTTTGCAGAATCACTTTGGGGACGAGACGAGATGACAGCTTCTCCCACTGCCTTAATGGCTGCCCCAACTCACCCGGACGAGACGCTTCCCATCTTCATGGATGACTCCGCGTTGATGGATGCGAAGACGGCAAAACGTCGCCAGGAGGACGATGAAATCCGAAATTATCTGATGCAGCTTGATGCGCTGCGTCACGAGTGCGAGCAGCGCGGTCAATTTCGCAAGGCGCAGGAGTGTTTGGATCGTATGCGTGAAGTGAACCTCCGGTACGCCAAGAAAATTGAAATGGAGGCCAGCAAGGTGAATGCGGGGTGGAGGAAGCAGATGTTGGAGGAGCAGCGGCTGGAGCTTCTCACTTTTCACGACATGTGGGAAAACAAGTTGAAGGAGTACGATGAAAAGGCGGGACAGCTGACACAGGAGATGAATCGTCAACATGCGATGGAGTTGCAGTTGCAGGAGGAGGTGATTCGCGTAGAGCTTATGAAAAGACGTCCACGGCCGTCCAAGACTTTGGTGGAGCTTCGTGATAATCTGAGGAAATACGTAGAACGACGCATGTACATGGACGCGGATCGTGCGAAGAAGGCAATTCACCACCGGGAGGCGAAGGAGCTTCGAGAGTTCGAGGCGGATATTGAAAAGAAATTTCAGGACCGTCTGCAGGTCGCTTCAGAGCGACTGCGGTTGGGGAGGGCGGCTGTGGAGCAACGTCTTGTCGTAAATCGTGAGGAATTGTTGGCCCAGCGTCGAGACGAGTTTAGCAAATTGGTGAAGAAGCATCATGCGGCTTTGCACGCGCAGGAGCAGGCCAATGCTCTTGTTGTCTCCAGGGCGCAGGATTGTATTCGTCGCCAGGCGAAAGCGTACATCAAAGACACGGTCAAGACAGGACTGGAACTGGTGCATCTAACGGAGACGGCGATGGTTGGAGGAAAGATGGATTGGAGTGCGGATGGGCGGCAAGGGACATCTTTCAAGAAATGTGACCACCGCAGTGTCGACAGAGGGGCTTCCGTGCGGCGGCATAGAACGCCTCTGAAGAGGACGACGACGGCATTGCCGCGGCCTCCATGGCAAGATTGAACCCCTGTAGAGGTGAGAGTTGAGCTAACGTCAAAGGGGCACACACACATACAAAAATACATACGTATGTGCACGTGAATATACCCGCGTAGATACATACAGAGAAAGTGGGGGAATTGCTCTTTTTTCCCTCTTCTTATCGTTGCAGTGGTTGTGTCTCCTGTTATTGTACTGTTTTTTAAATGGAATACGGCAAACACAGTTGCTGTGAGTTTTTTTTTTTTTTTTTCATCTCATTCTACTGATTTGTATTTTTTTTGCTTTTACGCTCTGCAGTATGAATATTGTTTACTTTTTTTTTTTTTTTTTATGAGGGGTTGAGCCTGATGGGGGCCTTTGGCTTGACGCCAGAAAAAAAAAAAAAAAAAACATATGCATGAGTATTGCTGCTGATTGCTGGTGCCTATATATATATATATATAGTTGTTTTTCCTTTCTTTTTTTTTTACTCTTTAATTAAGTCTGTAGTTGTGTGTCTGCAAGAGGGCGGTGAGGAGCAGCAAATCGATGGGAATTGCCGGGTTTTACTTGTGGCTGCAGCGTTGGTACGGCGACTGTGTGGAGGATGTCCCGGAGGAGGTAGTGAAGGCCGCGCTGGATGGCCAGCCGCTCCCTGCTAGCAGCGACACCACGCAGCGTTTTGACAACTTCTATCTCGATATGAACGGGCTCATTCATCCCTGTTGTCATGATACGGCGCCGCTGCCGGAACCGGAGAGTGAAGAGGAGATGTTTGAACGCATTTTTGCGCAGGTGGATTTATTGTACAAAATAGTCCGTCCGCGGAAGTGTCTCGTGTTATGCATCGACGGTGTCGCACCTCAGAGTAAGATGAATCAACAGCGCAGCCGTCGCTTTCGTGCGGCGGAGGAGCGCATTGAGAGTGAAGTTTTCTCCGCACAGTGCGCGGAGGACGTTGTCAAGAAGGGTCTTCCTCTTCCCCAAACACGAAGTCGCTGGGATCACAATGTCATTACTCCCTCTACTCCGTTTATGGAGCGTGTTGGGTTGGCCATTGAGTGGTTTATTATGAAAAAAATTAACGAGGATCCGGCTTGGCGTCACATCGCCGTCATCTTCTCGGACGCCCACGTCCCTGGTGAGGGGGAGCACAAAATTATGCACTACATTCGAGAACTTCGGGCTCAGTTGGGTTATAACCCGCAAACTTCTCATGTCATTCATGGAATGGATGCAGACTTGATATGTTTAGGGCTTTCCACTCATGAAGAGCATGTGACCATATTGCGAAATCAGCTCACAGAAACCTTTCAGCCTGATCACAATCGCTTCTGCTACTTTAGTCTCTACAAATATCGTTTGCGCCTAAGAGACGACTTTGGTGGCATCGGCCAAATGGATTTTGAGAGAGTACTGGACGACTTTATATTTCTTTGTTTTTTTGTAGGAAACGATTTCCTTCCACATGTGCCTCTCATCTCTATCAAAACAAAAGGCATTGAGCTTCTACTGGATCACTACGTGCGGGGCTTTAAAGATCACTCGTACTTAACCCATGGAGGTGAAGTAAATTACGGTAATTTGGCCAAGTTTCTGCGTTTTTTTCTCGTAGGGTACATGGAGAAACTGAAGCAGGAGTATGGCGGGGTGCTGCGGGCAAAGCAGCGAGCGAAGGCGAAGGTCGAGGAGCGTGTCAAGGAATTGGAGCGGGAATTGGAAGAACAACTAAATTCCCTTCAGAAAGACCGTAAGAATGCCCAGCAGGTAAGTAACGCTGCTCATAAACTGTTGCTCTCCATTATGAGGGAACGTGCGCGTCTTGTCGTCGACAAGGAACCTCTAGGGTTTTCCTACGTGAACGACGACCATCGCGATAAGTACTACGAAAAAAAGTTTGGCTGGGATCCTGCAGACCGCGAGGCATTTGAGAAAAAAATTCAGCTTTGCTGTGCGGAATACTTGCGTGGGACGCAGTGGGTGATGCGGTACTATACCACAGGGTGCCCATCGTGGGATTGGTACTACCCGTTTTATTACGCCCCTCTTCTGCAGGATTTGGCGCACTTTCCCGGTAAAGTGAAAGTAAAAATGACATTGGGAGCACCGAGGCATCCGGTGCTTCAGTTGCTGGCGGTCTTGCCTCGGCTTAGCGTGGAGGCTCTGCCGGAAGAACTGCATGACGCGGTTAAGGACCCAGAGTCCGTTCTAGGGGTCTTCTACCCCGAGAAGGTCGACGTGGACTTTAGCGAGGCACATTTCTCCTACCAGGGAGTGTTGCGGCTCCCATTCGTTAACAACAGCCATCTTCAATCCGCATGCCAAAAACTTGTCCGTTTGGAGCCGGATTTCGGCTTCACACTTCTTTTATGTCATGAGTCAAGTCGTCTTTCTCGTGCACTGAAGTCTCTGCTTGCGGACAAGGATGGAGAAAAGGTGATGAAGCCTATTCCTAAAGTGTTGGCTGCAAAGGTCCCCATTGGTGGGAAAGTTGGACCGCATGAAATGGAGTGGCCACGTCACGCCAGGTTGCACTGCCCAGATGACGGCATTGCAAGTGAAACGTCTTACGGAGCTCCCATCAAGAGTAATGCTGCGTGTTGCTATCGCTACGAACTAAACACGCAATCTCTTTACAGACCTATATTACTACGTGAACTAAGAAAGACCATGAGAGGTGCCGCCGCCCCGGCATCTACCGCGGATAATTTGGTGGAAAACCCGGCCGTACGGAAGAGTTCCGCTCCTGCAGACTCTTTGAGAAGCTCCGAGAAAAAATTAATTCGAAGAGCGAAACATGGGCGGGAGGAACCGCAGGAACAGAACACGGAGGTGGAAGTGGTGGTGAATAAAAAAGACACATCAACGGCTAAAAGGCGTCGTGTTGAAAACACTGTGAAGGAGCCAACTGTGAAGGCCGAGCCTCCTAAGAAAGCTGTGAAGAGGAAAAGTAAGACCCGGCGAAATAACTGACGAGCTGGTAAGATTAACTTGTTTTTGTTGTTGTTTTATAGGTGTGGCTGTGCGAGTGACGAAGATGTTGGAATCGCCTGGTGCCATTTCTTCCAGAACGCAAGACGGTGTAGCGGTGATGGGGACGTTAGGGAAGACGTGCGTCCCTCCTATTTTTCTCTTCTTGTTGTATATATATATATATATATATTTTGAATGGCCTCAGTCTTCTTGTTTTTTCTGTCAGACTACAGAAACGCAACCACAAAGATTTTCTTAGTTATTTGTGTTGCCCGCACGTGCCCATTTGAAATGACCGACTACCCTGGGAAAAAGGGCGTGGGGAAGGAGTCGCTTACCTCCTTTGAGATGGGTGAATTGCGGTACCAACAGGGGCTCCTCCTGGCGCAGCAGGGGCGACTTCGTGAGGCCATAAATGCCTTTGGTAAGGCGTCCTTCTTCTTGCCACATAAGCCGCAGCCTTTCTTTGCCGCCGCGGAGTGTTTTGTTTCTTTGTGTGACTTCAAGGGGGCCGTTAAGCAATATCGACGAGCGCTTTGGCTGCTTCGTCCACGAGATGACACGGAAAGCGTGGAACACCCCTTCGGTAGTGCGTTGCAGCCAGAAAAGCCTTCTAGGTGTTCTGATTTTTTGGGGCGCGTGAGCGCCTTTAGCATTATTGAGGGCGAAAAGGACGAGGGGAGGGAAAGTGACCACAACGATGATTTTATGTTGTCGACAACGGATTCTTCTAGCCGAATAGCTACGGCGGAAGCGACGCCCCCACCGAGTGCCTTTCGGGCACGTGCTGCTGCCGCCGCCGGGGACGATCGAGCCATTGCTGGCGCGGTGAAAACTCGCCTTGCAGGCATTCTTGACGCGCTTAGCATCGTTCTCTTCAACGTGAAGGACTACGGGCAGGCTCTTCGCTTTGCCGATGACTCTCTGGATCTGTGTGAACACCCGCAGGTGATGCTTCACCGTTGTGCCTATCTTGTTGCGCTTGAGCGTTCAGATGAGGCGGAAAAGGCGTTGGAGAAACATTTGAAGGAGCACCCCTGTTATTTTATTGAGAGCAGTTCACTTTTGGTGCATCTTTACTGCCAAAGACAGGCGTTTCGACATGCTAAGGAGCTGCTGGAGAGCGTCCCTTTGAACGATCGTCAACATGCGCAGATCGTGTTGGCACAACGCATCTTTGATGACGCTTACTCTGTTTTTCGTCAGCGGTCGATTGATCAGTCGGATGTGCAGGGACTCACCCGTTGTCTTGGAGTCTTTCCAGAGGACCCAGCGCTGTCGTTTGAGCGCGCTAAATATCACATTAGTAAAGGGATGGACAAGAAGGCCGTACCCGACCTTTTTCGTTGTATCAAAATATCAGACGGCAGTTACAAAAATGCTGTGGAACTGATGACGGAGACCCTTTTCCGCCTCGGTGCAGGTCGTGATGGCAAAGATGGTATCAAGGATGCAATTGAGTACTACTCAACTTCCCTTCTTTGGCACGCGGATAATATTCCAGTGCTTCTTGCCCGCGGGGATTGCTACGCGAAACTTGGGGACTATAAAAATGCCTTGCAGGACTTCCTTTCTGTTGAGAGGATATTCCCAAAGCACTCTGGAGCCACCGAGCGTATCGCTCGTTTACACGACGTGTGGGGGACTGAATTTCACGCTCGTGGGAAACTTGAGGAGGCGGAACAGGAGTTTAGTCGTGCAATTGCAACATGTGAAACCGAGCCGCTTTTCTACTACCATCGGGCGCGTTGCCGGTTTGACATGGGTGAACCACGATATGCATTGCGTGATGTACTTTCTTGCCGGGAGCTGAATGCGGAGGATCCGGTTATTCGTGACTTTGTACATGCGCATCTGTCTTTTATGACACAGGGGTCGGAGGGGCAATCGTCAGGGAGTGCCAATTTGCCGAAGGTGTTGCTGCATGCTACTCGTCGTGCGATTGCCCTGTATGGGAATGACGCGGCAAATGCAGCACGGAGGCTGCGTCAACAGAGGAGTGAGCAACTGCAGGCGCTGGAACAAGAAGAACACAACGCGGTGGCGTTGAGGGATGCTGGAGATGCAAGGAGAGGGAAATTGCCGGCATTATTGGGCGTGAAGACTTCCCATACCGCTGTCCTGGGCGGTGTTCTGACATGCAGCAAAGTGCAGATGTCGACTCCCGAAGGAAAGCTGAAATCTCAGGTACAAGGCCGCTCTCGTTTGCGGGGAAAAAATTGAAACGGTCGTTACTGAAGTGCGATGTCGATGTAAAAAAGAAAAAAAAAAGGGGAAAAAGCCAAAGGTAGTAATACCAATAATGATAATAGAGAAGGAAGAGAGAACCGAAATTGATTTATTCTTTCTTTTTTTTTTTTTTTTTTTTTTTTTTTTTGTTTGTTACGCTTATATTATGTTTTATTCTTTCTTATTGTTGCATGCTGCGGGATAGAGGAACTCACGGATAGCCAAACAAGAAGAAGAATTATTCAAGAAGGTGGGATATATTTATATTTATCCACATCTTAAAAATAAATAATAGTAATAATATGTTTCGTCGCGCTCTTGGACCACAAGCCTCGCGAATTTTGGCGAGGACTTCGAGTTCAGCCCGCTGCTACACCAACTATGAACATGTGAAGTACCCTGTGGATACTCAGGCCTTGGCGTGTATCCTTGGGTACTTTTTTGTTATGTGGGTGCTGATGGCACGCATGGGCAGTCTATTCTCGTGGCGCTCGGAGTACAAAAGAGACTACCTCCGCGTGTGGCGTCGTAAACTCGGCAAAGGCTACAAGTGGTCGGATGAATGGGGACCGAAGATGGATACGGTATGGAAGAATGTCCCGGATAGGGTGGAGTAAGGGATGTAGACGTCAAATGTGTATTTGTATTGCTTATTTTTATTATTGTAGGAAGGGTCTGTTAGCAAAAGAGTGGGGTGTGTGGGGGAAGGGGGGGATTGTAGTGGACAATGCGAGAGAGGATTGAAATACTGTGTTGGGAGCTTCATAGTGGGGACACGATGTCTTTGTGTGCATTCTGTCTTTCCCTTTTCCCCCCTTCTCCCCATGAAGGGAGAGAGAAAAGAGAGAGAGGGATGTGAGGGGGTATGAGGAAAAGGAAAAAGAAAAAAAGTGGAGAACAGGAAAAAAAAAAAAAAAGGAGAGAGAGAGATATATATATAAGAAGGAGAATATCAAATGAAATGTGTTTTATCAACCCCCCCCAGTAAAAGAATGTGATGAAAATAATTTCTTCTTACCGTTTTTCTTTGACTTTTATCCAACAATCGTGCTGAGCTCAGACCGCGGATAACGAGACCAAAAAAAAAAAAAAGAAAGAGAAGGACAAACAAACAACCAAACAAAAGTATATTGTGAGGAGAGGCGAAGGAAGAGAGATTCTCGTGGCCATAAACAAGTGACTTGGGGGAAACAATGCGAAGAACGAGTTGTACTTTTTGCAAGGCCGTGTTCGATTTGAAGAATGCGGCGAAGTTAGCTACGGGAGTTGTGTTGGATCGAACTGTCGCCTTCATTAATGGCGCTTTCGTTACCCCTGCTTCGGCTGCAACAATCACTGTAGAAGACCCATGCACACAGACAGCTATTGGCGAGGTGCCGAATATGGGAAAGGAAGAGACGTTACAGGCGATTGACGCGGCAAAGTCAGCCTTTGAAGGCTGGAAAAATATGATGCCTCGGGAGCGTGCTGTGATTATGCATCGCTGGGCTCAATTGGTGCTTTGTCACAGTCAAAGTCTTGGAATTATTCTCTCACGTGAGTCAGGCAAGGTTCTTGCAGAAGGCGTGGATGAGTGTCTGTATGCGGAGCGATACCTTGAATGGTACGCGGGGGAGGCGGAGCGGGTGTATGGTGACATCATTGGTGGCCCCCGTGAGGGAGTTGTCACGACTGTTGTACGGCGGCCTGTTGGAGTTGTTGGTGTCATTACACCCTGGAACTTTCCCTCCTCAATGGTGACACGGGCAGTTGGTGGCGCCTTGGCCGCGGGATGCACTGTTGTGCTGAAGCCATCTGAGCTTACCCCGTTTAGTGCCTTGGTGTTGGCACAGTTGGCTGCGGAAGCAGGCGTACCAGACGGTGTTTTTAATGTGCTTACAGGAAATGCTGAGCCGATTGGAGACGCGTTGCTTGACTCCTTTGACGTGCGCAAGATCTCCTTTACAGGGTCCACGAGGACTGGGAAACATTTGTATGCACGCTCCGCCTCCACCATGAAGAAACTTGGCCTGGAGCTTGGTGGCAACGCACCATTCATTGTCTTTGATGATGCCGATCTCAACCGAGCGGTTATTGGTCTTATTGCCTCCAAGTTCCGCAACGCCGGCCAGGCATGCATCAGCAGCAATCGGATCTTTGTTCATGAGGCCATACATGATGCCTTTGTGGCGCGGCTTGTGGAAAAAACTCGAGAGACACTGCGAGTGGGTAACAGCCTCGATAACACTTCAAAAATGGGCTCCCTCATCAATGGCGCAGCCGTCGATCGGATGGAAGCGTTGGTGAAGGACGCTGTGGCGAAGGGCGCGAAGTTAGAACTGGGTGGCAAACGCATCCCCGGTCCTGGTTACTTCTTTGAACCTACAATCTTGACACGTGTGCGGCACGAAGCAATGGACTGCAGTCAACGGGAAATATTTGGCCCAATTATTCCTATCATTAAGTTTTCGAGTGAGTCGGAGGTGGTCCAGCTGGCGAACGCCACCCCTGCTGGCTTGGCAGCATACATCTACACTCAGGATTATAGAAGACAGAGTCGTGTTTCAGAGCAGCTGCAATTTGGCATGGTGGGTGTGAACGACGTTGGCTTGTCCTCGCCATGTGCGCCATTTGGTGGTGTGAAGGAAAGCGGACTGGGACGGGATGGCTCCAAGTATGGCATCGACGCTTTTGTTGACATCAAATATGTGCTGGAGTCGCGTATTTAAGAGAAGATGTTTTTTGTTGTTTTTCTTTGGTTCCCCTCATTTCCGTTTTTTTTTTTTGTTTTTTTTCTGTGTGTGTGTGTGAAGGAGATTGGATGAGAGTGGAGGGATGAATAATGGAATGACGTTTGGTGTGGAAGAGCGTACGGGAGATGGGGGAGGAGCAAACCACCGGGGCAACCGCACTGGATTTTGTTGCTGCTTCTGCACATCCATCTGGCTATGACTTGCTGCGCATAAACATGTTCATATTTATATTATTTATTTATTTATTATTGTTATTATTATTTTTGCGTTTGCCATCGTGACTTTATCACCCAATTTCTTTCTCTCTTCATTTTTTTTTTTTGTCTGTGTTTGCAACGGGGCCTGGAGTACTCGAATTCCCTCGCAGCGGGAAGGTGAATAGGGAGAGTAGTAAATATTGCTGTTGTTCTTCTGTGCCGGAGGGGGGAGGGAGTTGAGAAAAGGGCAATGAATTTTTTTCTCCCTGTTTTATGCGTCTTGCTGTTGCTGGTGCTTGTGAATTGCGACCATGCAATGGCACTTTGTCCGTCAAATGGAAACACGCATGTCATCTACGTGACTTCCAACATGGGTGATAACATCTGGGCTTTTGACACCTCGGGTCAATATATTGGTCTTGTAATAAACGTGAGTACAATTCCGTTTCGTGTTGCCAAGCTTCGCGAAATGACGTTTGGTCCTGGAAATCATCTCTACATTGCTAGCGCCCGTGGGAAATACAGCCGTATCTTTGCCGTCTCCGGAAATGGCCTTCTCAACCACACTCTCGGTGAAAAGTGCACCAGAAACTACCTTTTCACAGCCACAGCGCAAAGCAGCGCGAACCCATTCCTTGACCACCCGTATTCCATGGCATTTCACCCCCAGGACGGCTCGCTTTTTGTGGCTAACCAAAACTCCGTCACGGTCACGAGGTACGAACGAGTTCAGGATGACAAGGACGCATCTCCGCGATGGGAACCTGTGAAGAATGTGGCGCATGCTGTGTCTAATGCGTCGGGGCTTGTCGACATCCCAGACAAGGCTGGGCTGTTTGCATCCGCATGGAGCAATGAGTATTCAATGCGTTCCGTGCGTGGATTGACCATATCGCCCCCACTTCCACGTGCCCTTGTGGAGCAGGCCGCTCCTCAAGGATGGTACTCGACGGAGCGGGGGCTTGCTTATTACATTGTTGTGTGTGACATCGCTGCGGATCAGGTTCATGTGTTCCTTGCCAAAACAGGTGAGCATGTTTTTTCCATACCCGTTTCATCTCCCGTACAGGTCTTGTTTCCCTCGCGATATCAAAAACCAATCAGCACGCCGACTTCATATTTTGAAACCCCATACATGTACGTGACGAGTAAAGAAGATGCACTGACGTTTCTTGTCCCGCTTTCGACGCCGTCTCATTCTGGCGATGCAACGAGTATTGCCAACCCCCAGCGTCGGCTGAAAACACACGCCATGACAAAGCGGGTTCCAAATCATTCCTTTAGTGGCATATTTGAGAATCCTTCACACGAAATGCTGCTGATAGCGGATCGTCTGGAACGGAGGATCTCGATTTTTGCCTCACCTTTTTTGGCGAACAACAGTGGAGAAACGGAGTCATCCCCATTTCTTGGGCATTTTGCATCCAAGCTGCCAGATCAGCCGGAGTTTATTTTGACGACAGCGGTGGAAGAACAGAGTGCCATACCGTTGTGTTATGAGCTTGGTGAAGACGGTTCATTCCGTTATGTCGCCCTATGCACTGCAGGGTACATCTGGGCTTTGGGTATATTTTTGATCTCCCTTGTAGCTATTCTATTTGCTTTCTTTTGGGAGATCCGTCGCTGTTATGAGAAGTATGGTAAACAGCGAGAGAAAAGCGTGCGTCTTTCAAATGACGGTGCCCCAGAAGACTTACCGCTGCTGGATGTTAACCGCATGGAGGGCTACGGCGCGGTCAATTAACATCTCCAATGGAACAGTAACGGCCTATTTTGTCTTTGTTTTTCTTTTCTCTCCGTGTGTGTGTGTGTGTGTAGGTGTGGGTATATTTTTGCCTTTGTGCTTTTTTTTTTGTGGTTGCCTTCTTTTTTTTTTTTTTTTTTTTTTTTTTTGTGGGGATTCTGGCTGGGAGGGATCCCGGTGTTGGTGGGCTCCTCTGCCGCGATAAGTCAACGGTGTTTTCTTCTCAGGGACTGACGGTGGGAGGAGGGAGAAAGCATCAGCAAGAATATCTATAAAAATCATCATAATAGTAACCGAGGAAGAAGGGCAAGAGGCGAAGAGGCGTGCGAAGAAAGAGACAACGAAGGAGTTCAGTTCGTCTTTCTGTAGCATCCGTCAGAGGAGGAGGGTCAAGAGAAGAAAGGTAAAGGTAACTTGAAAAAGGTGGATGAAGAGACATCGTCTTTTACTTTTCGGACGCACACACACAGAGAGAGAGAGAGAGAGCGGGAGAGAGACAAATGGTGTGGGTGGATGATTGTCGCTCTTTTGCCCCGCCCATCTCTACTCCATTCGTCGAGTGATGCGTGGCGATGGAAAGGAAGACGGGGAGGGGCGGTTGAGTGTTAAAAGAAATGAAGAAAAACCACAGTAAAAGAGAAGAGAAACAAACAAACGAAAAAAATAAAGTAAAATAACCATATATATATATATATATGGTTATGGCGCGGTCGTTTATGCGTTCTGAAGGAGATGTGAGGGGGAACCGATACCGAACGAGGGATAAAGGAATCCACCACAAATACATTTATTTGTTTATTTATTTATTTATGCGTATCACTTGTGTATGTTCTTTTCTCTTTAACATTTTTTCTTACTGTGGACAAGGTTTTTTATTATTATGTATATTTACCATTTTTTTTTTTTTTCCTTTTTTTCTATTTGTTTGTGTCGTGGGGCATACACGCACACATGACACAAATAGTTGTTTGAGGACGAGTGGCCGTACTTGGGAGGGGAGGGGGGCGTGTGTACACGCAGCGGCAAAAAAAAAAAAAAAAACGGTTTTTTTTTTTTGTCTTTGTTGTTGTTGCTTTTGTTTTTCCTGTGCAAGTCAATGCTACGCTCGTCTTACATTTGGTTTCATGGGCAGGCAGCGCGATCGCATTCCGTGCTTGCAGCACTCTTACGCATTCGGCAGCAGTACCAGCGCCCATCACATCTTATTAATCGCCGGGATGCATCGTTGCAGGTGATATTCCCCTCGCGTGACCTCTCCATCTCCTTCTCGCAGGAACGGCAGCAGTTGGTGGATGAGGCGATGAAAATACTCCGAAAGGAAGTGCGTGGCGGTGATACACTTTCAGATGTCGATGCCGCCTCTGCCGCCTTTTGCGTCGAGGTGGGAAAGTTGTTGAGTGTTTCGGCCGTTTTTGGGGCCGCCACGACAACCCCTCGCGTTGCCGAGGCACTGCAGTGGGTACGCACGAACAAGAAACAGTTGGTGTCCACTCGGCAGGTGATGTCCATCTGCGTGCCACTGCTGAACCTCAAGGATGGCAAGACAGCTGGCCGGCGTTTCGTGATTGAGGAACTCAGCGGACCGCTGCTGCAAGCATTGGAGAGTCCAGCATCGCCAACGGTGTCCTCCGAATCGGATTTAAAACAGCATCGAAGTGCTATCGTCTCTGTCTTTAGTCTTGTGGGAAGACTGCTGGAAAGTGACGGCGGTGATGCGGATGAAGGGAAGAAGGTTATGGGCGAGGAAAGTGTCTTTCCCGACCCACCGGTTGAGGATCGCCCGATGGTCTATCAGAGGACATTATTGTTTTTTACAAAGGCCGTTGATGCGCTTCTGACTTTGGCGGAGCAATCGCTTCCTCCACTTGAGATTTCAGAGTCTGTCTACATACTGCAGGCCTGCCAACGCCTTGAAAGGGATTCCGAAGGCAGATCCATAGAAGAGGTGAGGGCTGGACTGAACAGGGTTCGGCCAATGATTGACGCGGCGCTTGGTCCATCCACGGCGGGGACGACCAAACGACCTGGTGATGTTTGTCAACTACTGTCTGTAGCGTCGAAGCTGCAAGATACACATCACATGGCGGATTTGTCTCGTGCCGCTCTTGGGCTTTTACCCCTTGCATTGGCCTCCGCGTCTGCGAAGGACATTTGTGCGGCACTTCAGGTGCTAGTGCGATTGTCTGGCAGCTCACCGGAGGTCACGGAGCCATTGCTGCTTCGGCGTGTCCTGGAGGCGGTGCGTCCAAAGCTATTTCTTATTGCTGAAACACATCCAGCTTCAATGCGACATGTCGAGTGCTCGTTGCTGATGTCTACTCTCTCTCGCCTTGAGGAAGAACTGGCGGATGATCTTGTGAATCTCCTTTGTGGTTGCTTTACCGCTTCCATGGATTTGGTTCAGCCAGCCCAACTTATTCCGTTTCTGCAAGGTCTATTCAGGTGTAGCGAAGCGGCCTCACGATCTTCGGCGGACACACACAACGTACCCTTCTGGGAGGTTGCTCGTCTTCCCTCAGTGCGTCCATGCATTGAAAAGGCAGCGGATCGCGTCATTGCCTGGGCAGCTGCGGATGCAATAACGGATTCTGAATCGGCACAATTATTGCTTTTGTTTTCCCAGCTGCGGTACAACAGGGTGTTAGCTGTCTACGTGGCGTTGGAGAAAAAATTGGTGTTGACTGTCGATCATTTGTCAAGGGGCTTATCCAACGATAACAGCAACGGCAATGTTGCTGAGAGTAGTGGTAGTAGTGACCGTATTGGTAGTGGTGATGATGATGTTGCTGGCCATGTGGTTGGCGGCGATGACGGGAGCCCAGAACCCAAGCAGAGGTCATTGGCAGCCGCCAACGGGATAGCCCTTACATCTGCTCTTATGAACGCCTTGTATGCCTTTCAAAATGAAGCGGTAACCGTTGTACGAGAGGAGGAGGAGTGCCTTCAGCGTGCGGGGAAGTTGTATGAGACTCTGCGACAGGGCGCCATGGAAAGTCTCACGCGAACACGTAACCCAAAGGCCTTCGTGATGCTTTTGCATGTTCTTATGCCTGAAGGGAAAAGAGGAAGAGGAGGAAGAAGTGCCACTCTGGAAAGCGATGTGACGACGGCATCCGTGGTGAATTCCGGCTCGCGGCCATTGGATGCCGTTGCACCTCAGGTCTGCCTTCTTGCACCCGTCAGCAACGCGTACGAAGTTGGGGCAATCGCCAAGGCCGTTGGAGAATTTATGGCGCATGAGCTCATTGGGGAGGAGGGGGCGCAAAGGGCCATGGAGGCCATTTTGGAACGGAGTGAGGCGGTGGAGTTGAGTTCTTATGATGCGCAGTCCCTCCTGGAGGGTATGCGAAGGGTACGCGTGGTGTCAATCCCTCCGTCACTTCTTCACCGCCTTGCGACGCTCCTGCAGAATACACCCCAAAAGACAACAATGATGCTTCGACGCCTGTTGCCGGTTTTGAAGACCATCACGATGAAACCCATTTTGCAGGAAGCATTAATTAAACTCACGGAGGTTGCGATGGCGAATGCGTGCACCATAATGTCCACCAACGCCTCATCACCCCCACCGCTTCGTGACACGGCTCTTCTTGCCCATGTTCTGGCGCAGCTGTACGATTTGTCCTTGGAGCCGCTTGTGCTGAACCTTGTGGTGAAGGAAGAGATGGGAATGACAGAGGAGGCGGAGGAAGAAACAAAAGAAGACGAAAACGGGGAAGGGGAAGCTGATTTTTTGGATGATGGTACAACTGATGAGCCCGATGAATTTATTCACCATCAACACCACCATCATTTATTAACCGTAACGAAAAAGGCATTTTTGGCTTTGGGAGATGTTGCCTGTTCTTCCCTACAGCAAAATGTTGATTCCGCTGATGGCTTAACGTGCACGCTGATCCCACCTCAGGAAATTGTTATGCTCGTACAGAGTTTTGAGAAGGTGGGAGTTAGACATCACGCGCTTCTCTATGAAGTTGTTCCGTTAGTGCGAGACATGTCTGGGTCCATGGAGCCGCTGGAGCTTTCTTTATTACTTAATGCCTTTGCACGTCTTGGTGCATGGAATGGGCGCGTTTTAAATACACTGGCTAGTAATGTTGCAGCGCAAATAAAGACATGTAGCCTTAAGCAGTGTCAGTCCATCTTGCAGGCTCTCCAGTCCTCCGGGTTTCTTCGCCCTGGTGCCTTCTTGTCAACGACGGAGTACAAAACAACTCTGTTGCGGGATTGGCGTCCTGCGTGCACCCCCACAACACAGGCGTCTATCGATCCGCTTGTGGTGCTTGCGACAAGCGTTGTGGAACGCATGACAACACTCGTTGAGCGACCCGAGTCTGTTTCTGCCATGTTGGAGTCTCAGAGTCTGGAGGATATCGCCGCGGTTGTCCGGGTTCTGGGCTTTTTTGTCCAACCGCCACAACCGGCCTTTGACACGTACTTTGAGATGGCGATGAAGAAGTTTGTACTGGACAGTAAAGATATCATGGATGACAGTTCACCACTTAGGCAGAGGAAGTGGTTGATGGTTGCCCTTTCTCTCAAAGGGCACTTGGATAAACTGCGGCGGTATCATCGGCAATGCATCTCTGCTCAGGCCATGGCAGATTCCATCACTGCTCATGAGACGACTTTGCTTTCACTGACACCGGGACTGCGTCTGATGCCGGAGGAAAAGGTGGCGGACCTCTATTACACATGCTGTGTCTTTGCCATGGTGTATAATGTCAAATTTTCCCCTGAGGCGGCTTCGACTATTTTGCAGGTTATTTCCGAGAAACTGCAGGAGGAGGATGTCGCCCGAAACCCTCGGCGTGTCAGCAGCGCACTGCGACATTTGACAAAACTATCGTTTAAACGCATCGGCGCTCCAGGTATTGTCCATAAAATTGCGTTGGACTCGGCGTGGCACCTTGTTGCGCAGCTGCAAGGAAATGCAGCTGAGGAAAGGAATTGCAGTTCGCCTGAATGCTCATCATCGGCGGCTGCGGTGATGTTGGAAGTTCTATGCATGAGCCATCTTTTGGCTCTCCCATATTTGGTGGAAGAAAAACAAAAATTGCAGCAGGTGTTGTTTTTCTTTTCAAATCACCTGCGAAAGAATGATATTTCAAGACTTTCTGCAGCAGAATGTTCTATCCTTGTTTTGTCTACTGCTGTGGGAACGGCTATGCAAAGTCGTTGTCAAGTTAACGTGGCATGGCTGGAAGAGGTACAGCATGGCATTCTCTTGAAGGAGAAACATCTGTCCGTTCACGATGCGGTGAATATTCTTCTTGCTGGGGCTCTGTGCTGTGATGAGAGTATTGTGCAGGCGGAGACAGTACGGTGTGCCTCGCGTGTGCTAGTGGGTCAGATGGGTAAAACAGATTGGACAGGATTGCGGTTACTGCCGGAGCTTTATCGTCTTGCGACAGCTGGGGACGCCTGCTTCATGGCGTGGTGCAAACGACTCCAGCAGGTGGCTGGGGACGACACCACTGCGCCTGTTGCTGGCGGCGTGTTGGAGGTCTTTGAACGAGTCCTGCCGGCACTACTGCGGGCTTTGCGCTCTGCCGAAAAGGGCACCACACCGACGTTGTGTTGGCAGTGCCGGGTAGATGTGGCTGAGCAATACCAGCGGTGTGCAAAGACGTGTGGGGACGAACGGGGGCTGGCCGATGCCCTTGCAGAACTGGTGAAGAAGGAGACATGTGCTTCCTCGTAACCGAATATCCAACCACGTAAACGAAGACAAGTGAGGAAGAAGTGAAAAATTAACTAATCAAAAAGATTTATATTTCTTATTTTTGTGTGTTGGGAATATCCAAAGAACCATGAAAACAAAAGAAAGGGATGAATTGTTTGTTTAGCGGGGGCAGATGGATGCTGCATGAGTGCTTGTATGCGTTTGTATTGCTTTCTCTCTCTCTTTCTCTATTGACCTCTTTTTTTTTTTTTGTGTGTGTGTGTGTGTGTGTTTGCATGTAAGCGAGATTGTTGGGTCTTTCCCTCCCGTAGTCATGCTGTCAGATGCCGAGTTTTCTCACCGCCTTGACGTTGCGTTGGCGCAGATGCCGAAGATTTTCCAGCATGCCATTCCTTTTAGTGACCGCATGCTGGAGCTTGGCGGATCTCTTTTGGATACCACCGTGCGGTTTGGCAGCTCGATGAACCGCGCTTCTTCCCTCTCTCCCGCAGTTGAGTTGCGTGACCCGCAGAAGGAGCAGGAGGCGCAAGCCACGGAGGAGATGTTGCGGGAAATTGCAAAGGCTGAAAGCGAGTCCCGCGTTGAGGGCCTGCAGCGGTGGCTGGAGCGTGCCGCGGAGGGGCGTCGCATGGGGGAACAGTGCCTGAGTGTCTTCAACGACCTGTCAAGCTGCCTGGACTCTATGTGTGACGTCACCGCCGCTGTGCAGGAGCAAAGCAATCTATTGAGCAGCAACGCATCCGCGCTCATGGTGCGGAAGACAAAACTGGAGATGGTCCAGGAGGAGCTTGAACGGATGATTAAACACTTCACCCGGATTGAGGTCTTGACACGGGAAGCCGAAAATCCCGCGCTGTCTGCCAACTCCACACGCTACCCGAGCATGTTGCAGGAGATGGAGGAGGAGATGCAGTTTCTGTCCCGGAACCAGAATTTTTTGTCCTCCAAGGTGTACGCGACACGATTGGCTCTGGCGCAGCAACGTGCCTTTCAGTGTCTAAAAGATGCCATTGTGGAATCCGTGCGATCCGCACAGAACGTAACTGTGGCTTCCGATGTATACCGAGATGCGTTTTATCGGCGACAGCGGGGGAGTTCCAACGACGCCGCAAACACAGAGGATCCTGCACTTAAAACCACCACGATCTTGCCGCTCCCTGGCGTGGACGGAAGCTCAGATGCCCAGAAAGCCGTCTCGGACGCTCTTAGACGCATCAATGCAATTTTTTGCGAGAAACTAAGTGAAAAGGCATCTCTTCGACGAATGGTGGAAGCAATAGGCGGGGACGGGGAGTCGAAGGATGAAGTGAACGACAACGAGATCTTTGACGCATACCGTGAATCGCGTGTGTTGGTTGTAGGACCTCTTTTACAAAACTGGTTGGAGGCTTGGTGCAGCGTTGATGCGACGGCAAAACCAATGCCGAAACTTGTGAATTATCTCAATTCCCTTATGAAAATAGCCTTGGCGAGTGAAAAGGAGGTTTTTGATGAAATATGGCTGAGAGAAGAGTTTAGCGCACGTGTTTTTCAGCAGCTTGTTGCCGGTCTTTCTAATGAGGTCTATCATGTGTTTCGCTCCCAGCTACTGCAGGTGGATGAACTGGAGGAGTTGGCGCGGACAATAGAGGAGATCCAGTGGGAGAACACAAGGCAGGATAATGTTGCAGAGCTCAGTGAACTACTTACAAAATTAATTCAAGACACACAAGAGCGTTTGATATTTCGCACGAGTGTGTTTTTGCGTCAGTCGATCATGCGTGGTGGTCCCACAAAAGCGATGTTGCGGGAATTTCAAAGCGATGGAGTCAAGTCGGATGATTCTTACATCCCAGCTCTTAGTAACTGCGTAGCACTCCTGCGGATTCTTTACCCTTCCTTGGAGTTTTCTGTCTTCTCGGTGTTTGCCGAGGAGGCTATTCACTGTGCGCTAACGCAGATGCAGGAGCTGGCGAGGCTTATGAGTCAACAGCGAGGAGAAAACACTGCCATCAAGGGTTTCATGTGTCAACTGTGCCATCTCATTCACCTTCGTGAGGAACTCTCGCGTATCGACGAGAACATTACTGTTGTGGAAAAACGTATTGATCTCAGTAAAATTGCCCAGCGACGGGTTGAAATTGTGCAGTCGTCGCGAGAGTCCAAGAAGGATGTAGAGACTGAAATAAAAGTTTGCTGTGAGCGTCTGGTGCAAATGCTCTTCTCAGTGGTCTCTGCGCCACTCTCTGGGGTTGCGCGGAAAAAAACGGATGAGATTCGCGACGCTGTCAGCGCATTGGAGCAAAACTGGACGACCCAGAAGGAATTGATACGTTTGTTTATCCCGAATGCGACAACGCGGGAAGTTCTTCTGCGCCCCGTCAGGGCAAGAATTGACGAGCTTCTGCGTGAAACGGACTCCATACAACAACAACAACAACAACAGCAGCAGCAGCAGCCTGAACAGAGGAATGAGGGAGGGACGAAAACGGTGGTAAGTGCGCCTGCTTCAGTGCCAACGGCCGGCAATTCCATTGCGCCTGGGCAGGGAGAAGACGGAGGGACAGCTGAATTGTTGCAACAGGAGACAGAACGGCAAACAACCATGCCGGAAAAAACAATTCCTTCCCTGCGAGGAGATTTGGATCTGGTTTAGTGTGACGTGGTGGAGGCAGTGCCCACGACATGGTGTGTTTTTGCGTATGTGTGTGGAGAAGACAAGTATATGTCTCTTTATTGATCCTAAAATGAGGAGGCAGCTAGGATTCCACTTGTTTTTTTTTTTTTTTTTTTTTGCTCAACTCTACTCTTACAGAAGTGTATGCCGTTGTTGCCACCTTTTTAGGAAACCGTAGCGCAGAACCCCTCTCAGGGAATTCAGTGAATAAACCAGATAATCACAGGGCGAAGGCAGGAAGGAGAGAGAGAGAGAGAGAGAGAGAGAGGGGGGGGGGGAGGTGCTAAAAAAGAAAAAAAAAAAAGGTTCTGTGTGGGAAGAGCAGTGCCCGGTCCGACGTGAGTGTGCTTTGGGAATCGATGTTCAAATTCTTTTCGGTCATTAGAAAGTTGAGTGGCGGCTCTGCAAATGTCAATGCGGGATTACGCGGGCAGGAGGAGGAGGAAGAGGAAGAGTTATTGGCGGAATTTACGAAATTCCTCACTTTGCCTTCATGTGAAGGGATTCGCGTGGAATTGGAAAAGCTTGAGAGTCAATGCGAGGTGTCAAACCACTTGCATCATCCCCATTCCCCAGACACCGGCCTTGAAAGGTCTGTGTTGCATCTTCTTCGGACGGAGTCTTTTCAACCAGCTTTACCGTCACGGCTGGTGGCACTACTGCTGCGACGCCTGGAGTCTTGTTTCACAGGCTCCGATGAGACAGGAATTACTGGCTTTTTGCAGGACTCTCTACCCACCCTGCATGCATTACTTATGACAGATGCGTCAAGGTTTGGGGCAACGATGTTGGCGCTGGGAATTGATAATCAATTGTTGCTGGTGCTTCAGTTTGTTCGCGCGAAGTTGATCAATAGAACTCTCTCTGGGACGAAGGCGCCGATGAATATTACAGCCACTCAAACAAAGGACCAGGAAGAAAATTCTTTTGAGACTGAGACAAATTGCCCTTTAAATACCACTTCACAACCCTCTCTTGCACGGCGATGCGTGCTGGTACGTATTCTTTGTGAAACATTGCGACTGTTATTGGCCATCCATGTGAGCCCTACGGCCACTGCGGTCAGTGTCACGGGGATCTCGCACATTCTGTTAGAGAGGGGAGTGACCCGTTATCGAACAGACAGCAGCTTCTTGACCTCATCGGCAGCGCCACGGTTGATTTCTCCCTCCACCACGGGGGTGACATTTGGGGGTTGGGGTTCTGGAGATTCTCTTGCAACAATTGATGGCATGTTAACAGAGTGTGGACATCTTTTCTTGTACTTCTCAAAGGGTGCATTGGACTTACACGTACCGGAGGATGAGGAAGAAGAAGAAGAGGAGGAAGAGGGAGAACTGGTTGCGGAGGCCATCTGCTCTCTGGTTCTTCTCATATCCAATTTATATCAGGAGCCCAGCGAATTGATCATTCACATCACACTTTCCGGTATTGGCGTTCAGCTTGCCCGATTTCTTGTAGCAGAGGAGCCGGGAAAGTCGCTTTTGTTGCTGCGAGAACTATCTTTTGGTATGTTGCTTGTCTCGAAATTTATGCGGGAGTCTCCTCTGGTGACTGTTCAGGCGATGAGTTCGGTGTATTTTTTCGACAATTTGGTCGGCACGTTACAGATATTGGGGCGACAGTACGAGTGTGCACGCATGGACGAAAGCTACGCGAGTGCACGAGAGGATGCTCTCAAGGAACTGCTCTCCGTCGCGAATCTGGAGGCATTTCGCGTGCGGAAGCTCTCTGAAAAGGTCATTCATCTATCCCGCCCACGCTTTGAAAGGCTTGCGGAGGATAATACCGTGGACGAGTTTTTGCATTGCTATATTGGCTTGCTAGAGACACAGCGCTTTGTGAAGTCGAAGATGGAAGTGCGACGGGATCCGGCAATTCTTCGGGTTTTTGCGGAAATTGAGCTGACACTTATAAAGGCGTTTCTGGATAGCCCCACCTCTCTTTCCCCTGCATCCTGCATGTACGAGACACTGATGAAGTACACCATTGCTTCCCTCCCCTTGCACGAAATGGGAAAGCCAGAGAAACGGCATGTTAGTCTCATAAGACCTTTGATTAACGCTGGATTGTACCGCATTTTGTTTTATGAGCCAACCTTCAAGTCATTTCGACATGATCCACGCCTGTGCTACGCGGCAGTTTATCTGTTACACTACATGCTTATACACCCCTTGCTTTCATTGGAGGACCACGTGGAGGACGAGGTGGGTATCATTCTGGATGCATTTCTTAGCAATGAGGCGGAGGAACATTCCCATGAGTTGCCGGAAAAAACAGCACTCATGTGCGCGATTTTGCTCTCCGCCGTCTGCGGTCCCAATGCGACACATGTTTTGAACTCCCTCATGCAGCGAAACGGGATAGCGATGTTTGCCGCGATTATCACTAGGTCTAGTATTTCAGATAGCCGTAAACAAGAAAAAGAGGGTGGTGGCAGTAGTGGCGGTGTTATTGTTGGTGAATGGGTGACATATCTTCTTACGCAGCTATTACGTCAGCCCGAGGTGCAGCGGAGTGTGCTGGTAGATCAAGCCGACGTTGCATTCTCGCTTCTTAGCGTAAGAGGCATCCGAAAAAATGTGGAGCAGATGGTGGTGTCACTTCTTTCCCATCGCTGCGTTGAGGCCGAGTATTCACAGAGGATGACGCCGCTGGTAAAATGCACCTGGGAGTTTGTTAGTCAATGTATGAAAATACAGCAAGGGGAACCCTTTATCGCCACACTCATTGAAGCGGATGATGAGGATTCACTTTTGCTTTCCATATTATACTGTATTCGTGCGTCCATTCGTGCTCTCGCTGCAGACCTGCCATGTTGGGGCTCGGTGCGGCAACTACAAAGTGTGCTGTGTGGAAGTGTCACTGACGCCCCAGACCCGTTTCTTTGCCTTCTGCATCGAGTAGTCCTGCCGTGGCATGGGGTGCGAGCATCACACGGTCTGTCGTCTATTCTGCACACAATTACCATGCTTGTGCAGGGAAATCCAGCGTTGCGCGTCCGTCTCTTTCAGACCATGGACGCAGAACACCTGGTGACGTGTTTTCAGAGCGCATGGTTTTCTTCACGTGGGGGGTCGTGGCTGCAGTTTGTTCACAGCATTCTTGCGCTTGTCTACGAGGAGGAAGGTGAGTTACGGGAGGGGGATAGGCCACCGAAGTCGAAAAAAAAATCTGGCGCCGCAACTTTACTGGCGGATGTTAGAGAAGATACCGTCATACAAAATCCCGAGTTGCTGTTGCCATTGTTGCGTATATTTTTAAAGCTGACGGAATTTAGTACGAAGCACCGGGACGCGTTAGAATATCTTTTGGCTCGTCTATTGCGGACATTGAAAGCTTCGCTTGTCTCCTTGTGGATGCTCGCCAATGCGGGACTTTTTGAAGTATTAACAGCGTTGATTCCCGTTGTCACAGGCACCGCTCTCCTTGAAATGGTGCTTGCGCTCATCATGAATATCACGAGCCATCACATTGGTGTCCGTGAAACAAAGCAATTTTTGATGGGAATTGCCCACACGCAAAGTGAGGAGGAGCGGCGGAGGCTTGTTCCCATCGTCATTGAGGTGTTAAGTGTCTCTTCCTACATGTTTTTAAATCAACAGACGGAACGGCAGAATTATATCGCCTTCCGCGAGTTTAGTGGACAAACGGGGGTCAAAGCGATTTTGTCGGAATTCCCACAGGACGGGTACACCGTGTGTATGTGGTTGCGTATGGAACGTCGTGAGGATGGGCGTATGCCGCAGTGTATTTTTTCTCTGCAAAACATGGAGAAGCGAACGATATTAGAGCTTGTTGCCACGGCCCATGGTCTTTCTGTTATATTTCTAAATGAACAGAGGAGAACATTGGATTTGGATCTGAGTTGCAGTATTCCATCACAGACATGGACACAGTTGACGGTTGTTCACCGGCAGGCGGCATTCCCATTTAGCGGCAACGAATTTTTATGCTTTCTCAATGGTATGGAGGTTGCTGCGGTTTCCGGTGTTCAATACCCACCAATCTCCCTTGGCTTTTTTTACATTGGGACACGTGGCGAGGATGTGGAACAACGCTCCTCTCGAAGATCCTTCATTGGGCAAATGACGGCGGTGTATTTTCTCATGCGCGCACTAACGCCAAAGGAAGTAATGGAGTTTTTTGTGGGAGATACGGGCGTGACGAGCATGAAGCAATACGCCACTCATATTGCCGTGTACATTGATCCCCGATTTTGCGAGCGTGGTCAAGTCCACAATTTGGCGACGTTGATGCGTGGGAAAGCGTCGGAGTTGCCTCTGATCACATACGAGGGTACCGTCGCGTGCAATACAAACAGTATTATTGATTCCATCTGTGTGCTTGGCGCGTTGCATACGGTGGTGGTGCCACTGTTGGTTCTCCTGGTGAATCCGCAGCTGCCGTTTCAGTGCCGTATTCCGCCGGCAAAACGCAAGTCTGTCCGGAGACC